ACGATTAATAGAAAACAGAACTATACGTTTCAATAGTTTTGGCCTCTAATGCCAGCGTTGTCCATAAAAATGTTTTTGAGCACTTTGGGAAACGTCTTAGTCAAAATCGCCTGACGGAATCATATTTTACACTTACGTGCCAACAAAGAAAAGGATTGTGAAGATAATCATTCAGTGTTGTTGTCTGTCTAGACTAACGCGTAGGTCCTGAATATATATAACAATGATTGTAACAAATAATCCCATTTCAATTGAAAAGGAGCCCCAGGCAGTCCAGAGATGGGAAACCTAGACTTGCTTCATTTAGGGCTTAAGCATTGCAGGGAGGGCAAGGCAGTAGGACAACTAATATGGTTCAGGGACTGCGAGGCAGACTATTGTCTGTCTCGCTTCGAAGCATTCTGTCCAATGCTACAACAAATGCATAAGAACAAAATGCAAATATCGACATTACAACCGATAAAAACTACACGTATAATATCAGGCAGTTACCTTGTTCGAGGAAAGCATCCGTCAATATCCACATAACGGAACATTATTCCGTGTGTCTGCATCGCGATCTTAAAACTTGTATTCGTAGCTGGTCAGGTGAGTTTCTTTCGGATGTTAAGTCTCATTGGTCAGTTGAGCACACGTGACAACTATTCTCATGATGTCCACGGTTCTTTAAAGAAAACATTTAATTTGGCAACAATGAGCAATTAATTGTACCATCAGCTAAGACTTTGAACAAAGTAGGTTGTTTTTACACTGTGACAAGTTTATTCTGTGATAAATTATCATGGCCAAAAGCACATGAAAGAACAATATTGTACGCATGGCAGCTCATGTGGGTATATTTCTTTTCAGGTATATGGACAGATTTTTATATGTTCGGGATTGTTAGACGTTAACAATTGATACAATTTTACCCTTGTAGGACATGTGAAATAATATGGAGAGATAACCTGCTCTCTTAGATGCTTATGATATCGACAAACTAATACTAAGTGATACTCATCTTCTACAACACCCATTGTACAATTAGAGCATAAAAGTTGGTCATTATCAATATCATTATCGTACCTTAATTTACAAATCTTTAATTTGTGTGTGACTGGAATCAAAATTTACAAAATATTCGCTGTAAATCTTAATAACTAAACAATTCTATGACATATAGTACTGTGTCTAACAAAGATTTAAAGCTAGAATAAAAGTAGAAATCGCTTCTTCTCTATAGCCTACCATGCCAATCCTGGAATTGTATATCTTTACAAAGAAAAGGTACGGAAGCGTCCTAGTGCCACAGTCAGAATTTTTTTATCCCGTAAAAAGGTATGCATAAATATATCATAATTACTTTTACACTAGCACTTTACGGCAGGGCATAATGATGATGAACATGGTGATGGTGATGACCGATAGTGACAATGGTCCCTTTAATCAATATGCTAATTACGATTTAATTTCAAAACCTATTGCATTGTCTATAATGTGCTATGTACAAGTCGATCATTATTGTATGCTATGTGAGTAGAAAAATAACACTGTGATATTCTGACTAAAATCTATTTTTAGCTGGGTAAACTTTAGATTACGGATGCAGACTATAATTAACCTAATCTCCCATTGTGTCGGGGATTATCACGGCTGGGTGATTTCTATGCGTCGGACAATAGCTACTGGGATTTGTGTACCACTCACAGACACATGTACATGTACACAAATTATTAAGATCAATTCATGATTACATAATAAGATCTGATCGATTTGATGTTTCATAATTACTTTGATATTGACTGCCAAACAAACGAATCGATATTCATGCATGTTCCTTATATTGATTGCTGATAAATAAGTCTTGTAACAATGGGTCATCTGTTTCTGTGTTTACTTGTACATGTATTTGTTTATGCGAGCGGCCTTCAAATAAGCTCTTCGGAGCTTGTTGGCCAATCCATTCATATCTTCATGAATAAATATGTTTAAATTTACTAAAAGGGTATAATTTTATGACCAATGACCCAAAAATTAGAAATCGATATGCAAAAGAGGAAGCAGAATGGGTTGTTTTAGTATAATCCCTTTGATGTGGTAGTAATGTGGTTTTAAGGGATTAAAACACTTGGTGATGTAAATATCTGGAATGTGAAGTGAAATGAGAATTGATTTTTCTGTGAGTCGAGTTTGAGTTATGAGTAACTAGTTATGTTCACTGGAAACAACTTATTTTCTTTAATTGATTAAATGTGAGTGATCACTGTTTAATTTGCTCATTAAAATTGTAATTACTGAGTTTGCACTTACTTATGTTCACTAGAAATGTCTTTGGATGATTGAATGTGAGTGAAGACTGATTAATTTCCCACTCAAATTACTTGACTGAGTTATGTTCACTGGAAATAACTTAATTTCTTTGATTGATTGAATGTGAGCGACATATTGTTTGTGACTATGCAACCTTGCGTTGGCAAAATTGTCTCTACGCAATATAACTTGTTTCTATTTTTTTTACCATTTCGCTTTTTCGTATCACCCAAGTGTTTGTAATCAAATCGACCGCCTATTGTTAGTAAGGGTTGTGTCCCAAAACCCATACAGCCCATAACCTCCACAGCCATAACCTCCAGTACCCCTACAATTAGTTAAAACACGCGGCTTTTACCTGTCTGGCATAATGAACTGGTGTCTGCACAGGCCGACCCTTGGGTGAAATGTCACAGTTCAATTAAGAAAAAAGGTCAACGTCCTGTCCATTTGACGTTATACCAATTAACAGGGGATAAAAAATGCAAAGACATAATCCAGGTTTTTCATAATGCGATAATTCGGATTATACGGCTGAGAGCACAGACAACAGGAGAAAAGTACTATATAGACTAAGGCTTAGTCTCTGAATATATATAATTTTGATAGTAAGAAACAAGCCCATTTATATTGAACAGGAGCCCCAAGGAGACCAGAGATTCAGAACCTGAGGAAATCTAGACTTGCTTTATTTAGGGCTTTAGCACTGCAGAGAGGGCTTGGCAGTAGGGAAATTAATGTGGTTCAGGGACTGTGAGACAGACTAAGTACTATATTTCGTCCATCTTATTTCGAAAACAAACTAATCCAACATGAAGTAGGTGAGATGCAGCATGTGCAAACTCTCTGATCATGTCTTAGGACGTCCAGGCGACGTTCCAAGTCCCTGTGGGGCGGTGGGGTAGCCTAGTGGTTAAAGCGTTCGCTCTTCACGCCGAAGACCCGGGTTCGATTCCCCACATGGGTACAATGTGTGAAGCCCATTTCTGGTGTCCCCCGCCGTGATATTGCTGGAATATTGCTAAAAAGCGCCGTAAAACTATACTCACTCACTCACTCACTCCAAGTCCCTGTATTTCTTTTTCTTCAAGGGACATTTTAATCCACAACTGCAATAGACGGATTTCAGTGTGAGTCTGCTCCTTAGCAAGAAATTTGATTATTCAAACATATTGGGGTGGGCCTTTCCTACCAATCTCTTCAGACGAGAGTGCCACCCTTCCTTTATGTCTACTTGGACATGAAAAGGAGTATGGTCACCTTTCAGCATCGCCACAATGTCATCGACAGTTTCGCTTCACTCTGTACATAAATCCATTAGAAGGTGGTCAAATGTAACATATGTTATATTGGGATTACACTTTCTCAGTAAAGTACAGATTCTAGTATTTTTGGGGTTAAGTCCCATCCGGGATTCGAACATACACCCTCAGAGTCAGGGACCTATCCGCCAGCACACAAAGTCAGCCGCCTAACGTATGATGACCTTCCATTTAATAAATGAGTGAGTTTAGTTTTACGCCGAACTCGGCAATATTCCAGCTACATGTATATGGCGGTTTAGTAAATGAACCCAACCTTGCGTCTTTCCGGACTTAGCGCACATCTCACTTCCTCTGTGGGTATCTCTATATTGAAGACTGCATCTTCTTGAGTTGGGGGCGGTGGGGTAGACTATATAGTGGTTAAAGCCTTCGCTCGTCACGCCGAAGACCCGGCCGCGTAGATTCACAACATGGGTACAATGTGTGAATTCTTGGTGTCCCCCCGCCGTTATATTGCGGAAATATTGCTAAAAGAGGCGTAAAACTATACTCACTCACTCACTCACTCACTCACTCTTCTTGAGCTGCTTAGTCTTAGCTAGGTAACATAATGAATGTTACCAAGTTCACCTGGTCAGGCTCGCTGACTTGGCTGACACCTATCATCGGTTCCCAATTGTGCAGATCGATGCTCATGCTGTTGATCACTGGATTGTCTAGTCCAGACTCGATTATTTACAGACCGGGGTCATATAGCTGGAATATTGCTGAGTGCGGCATAAAACTAAACTCACTCACTCAGATCCATTTATGAAATTTTCGAAATCAGTCAGCCATTTATCTAATAACACCTGTCAGAACCCACTGTCATTCAGCCACAGTCTTCACAGGGATCCCTGTCTACTCAAATCTTTCTTTCTCTCTTTGCGGCGGTGGGGTAGCATGGTGGTGAAAGTGTTCGCCTGTCACGCAGAAGACCGGGTTCGATTTCCCACATGGGTACAATGTCGGATGCCTATTTCTGGTGTCCCCTGTCGTGATATTGCTGGAATATTGCTAAAAGCGGCGTAAAACTAAACTCACTAACTCATTCTCTCTTCTACAATGTTAAACAGCCAGGTTGAAGCCATAGATTAAAGTTCCCCTCTTAGTATTTAACGAACTTTACTTACTTTGTACATATATTATGAACGGTCCCTAAGTGGTCAACATGTGTACTTTTCATATGAACCCAGTTTGGCATGAGACTTATCAATTTTATCATGAGAGCGTGACATGAGCCATAAAAGCGTGAGTCATAAGCCAAAGGGTGTTGGCAGGTACTGCTTGTGTCTTTAGATAACTCAGGACGATAGTCTGTCTATCAGGACGACAACGTGTTTGAAAACACGTCATTTATTAGTGGTTAGCAAATGTGTGTACGCTTTAGAATTACCGCCCTTTGATGTGTTTGCAATGGTGTCTGCTAGAGTCAGTTGACGAAAATTAACCCATTAATGCCCTCTCCATGAAGGGACTTACGTGTTGGAAATGCGACTGCTACATTTAATCGTTTTGTACTTCATTGGCATAGCTGTTTTGTGTACATTTATTGTGGATCTAATTGATTCAAGAACCGGGAACGACCACGTCAGCAAACAGAATGATGCTGAGAAAAATGAAGATAAAATGGGTGATAAGTATGATAGAGTATTTTGGATTGTACAGGTATGTAATAAGACATAATGCTTCAGAGTAGTTAGAGAGTCAGCTGCTAAGAAATATGCGTAATGAGTAATCATAACACATTTGTTTGTAAATAGAATTAACATGCTAGAGAGTTACTTATCCGTATTAGTAAATAATAAAATATTGCATCAGATGCCGATAAGAGGAATACAAGTCGTTAAGACACAGTCCTTCTTCTGATAACTGCTGAAAAAATATATTTTTACCATTTATATACCTTACTTCTTAAACCATATTAACATTTTATATCTGTATACTTCAGGTGACACTACAAAGTGGAACCAATATTAAAATGAGGAATGCTTCATAATGTTTTACATGTTGTTTTGTTATCGTATACAATATAATTCCATTTAATTATTATTTTATGAGCTAGTGTTAATATCTGCTTTGACCAAAAAATATTGATGGTGGGTCTTTGTGTGACTACTAGACTACTCCTTCACCCCACAATTATAACAAACTAGAATTCATGGTCACTTTGGGTTTATTATAACAATAGTTAATTGTATACTTCTACCATAATGATAAACACACTCAGTAATGTTGTCATATTCACCGTGAGTAGGCGTAAGTTAGTTGAGAGGCTTAGGTGGCTGACTTTGTGTGCTGGCCGTGAGGAGCCCCACTCTGAGAGTGTGGTACCAACACTGAATCTGATACAATATGATTACCTTAATTAATATTACTTACATGAAGAAATTCTCATATCTGTTTTGACAAACCAAGATAAACACAAAAGCCATAGAGAATAATAATATAATTAGTATTTTATTTGGGATTAATATTATAGTAAGCTTTATTGGCTGAATGTGTGGAAGCCACAGTGACTGATTGGATTAAATTGTTGAATTAGTGTGCTGGTGATTAGGTTGCTTATAATTACTCAGAGAGGTTTGTGTTTACATCCTGCATGGGACTCAACTCCTAAAAGTACTAGAATTTTTATTAAAGAGAGGGTAATCCCAAATTTAACTTGTTACATTTTACAAATTTCTTAAAGGTGTTGTGTATTCATAGTAAATAGAATTGTCTGTCATTCATCTGAAAATGTGTGTTTACCTTGAAATATTATACTTTGCAATCATTAAACATTTTCCAACTGACATTTTTTTATAGAATACACAGTACTATCTTGCACTTTTTAACTTTTAGAACTTTAGATATTTTGAATAATTTCGAAAAAAAATGTTAATTGTTTTTCTCAAAACCATTCTATACAATTTGCTGACCTTGTGATATTGTGGAAAATAAAATAAAATAGAGATTGAAAGCACCATTTTGTTTATCATGGTCACCACCAAGGACTTTCCATGCCAAATCAACAGATTCAACTGTAAGACCGATGAGCCAAGAGGAATAACATCTCCCCACACTGCACCCTACTAAGATATGAATAAAGGAACAATCTGAAATATATTTTTAAGTATATTTTACCAAACTATTGAGCAAGATTTTCCCAAAAAAGTGAACTAGAAATCTGGTCTGATTGCATCAGAAAAGACTTGGCAATAGCTGCAATGGATTGCATCAGGCACGAATGAACTGATGAAGGGACAGGTGTCATGTCAGATTCATTTATTCATGTTAAATGTCTTGATAGAGAGGGCTGATATGTTTGAAAAAAATGTGATGTAGCAATTATGACTATCAACAGTGCTGGTCAGTATCGGACCATTAAAAATGTATTTTTTAAATTGAAATGACACTTATGAATCTATGACAAAATAAACTAGTAACTGTAATCAACACAATAACTCTTAATAAATGTTAAGAAAGAGATATGAACTTTGATAACTTAAAAAATTATTAATGCACAAGTGCTTATTTTCATTGGTCATCAATTAAACTTGCAAGATATGTGCAAGGAAAAGTGTACTTAATACAGCAATGGCAAGTTTGTTGGCAAACAATCATTGATGATAAACACTTGTGATTGTTTTAGATTTCAGATTTCCACATAAGCAAGTTTTTCGATAAACAACGAGCACCAGATGTGGTGAGATTTTGCAGAGACTACCTGAGCGTGATCAAACCCGACATAGTGCTGGCTACAGGTGAGGATTTATGCTGGGAGTCAGACTCTTTGGAGCTAACTCTTCATTAATCTTTTGGTACTATACATATCTGTACAGACCCGTGATGATCGGGGTTAGAATTGGTCTTCAGTAACCCATGCTTGTTGTAAGAGGTGACAAAGGGACCATTCATAATTTATGGCTAGGGGGGATTGATGATGATTTTAAGGGGGGTCACCCATTTTGTTCTGGGGACCTGGGGGGATCAGCAATTTTGTACACACGTACAATGGGGGGTCAGCAATTTTATACATAAAAATATGTTTAAAATTATGCTTAGAAGTTATGGGAAGGGGAGGGGGGGTCATTGATTTTGTACATAAATTTTAGGGGGGTCATCCACATTGTACATGCTTCTCCATAAAAATCATCATCACCCCCCCAGCCATAAGTTATGCATGGTCCCTAATGAGATCGGTTGGTCAGACTCGCTGACTTTGTTGATCCATGTCATTGTATCCCAATCGCGAAGATCGATGCTCACACTGTTGATCTCTGGATTGTCTGCTCCAGGCTCGATTATTGACAGACCGCCACCATACAGCTGGAATATTGCTGAGTGCGGCATTAAACAACAAACAAACATATATGTACAGATTTACACTTTTCTTGCCATCCAAATATTGCAGGAATCAGCTGATCCATACCAGTACTACAGTTAAGATTCCATCCTCTATTTTTAGGTGATCTTGTTGATGCAAAAGAACGAAATGGCCGAGGGTCAGGCCAGTATCGGATAGAGTGGGAGGAGTACCACAAGACAATAAGGGAATGTAGCAAGTTCCACAATGCCAGATGGCTGGACATCAGAGGAAACCATGGTGATCACCAGATACTGCAGTGTTTCAAATGGCATTTGAATCAAGGCTGTCTCTCAATCTTTACATTTCACATGAGAGATGCCATGTTTTTCATTTTAAAAGCTATGGGAAGTTAAGATAACTCTTGTTATGTTACCTCAGTGTCAGAATGATTGGTTCATATGATATTGATATAATAATTAAGGCCAGAAATGCTTGGAAAATGCTTTTTGGCAATTATTTGATAATGGTTTATATTTCAGATGCAAAACGCATATGTAATCATTCATACCACCTCAAACTAATATGGCATATGAGTAATACGATGTACCATTCCCTCATCATAATGATTACTCATAAATATCGAAAAACTTAGAAAAAATTCCATGGTAGAAACACTTCAAAGAAACAAACTATACTGTGACCCACCTGGCAGGCAGACAGGGTGACAGCATTATGTAACGCACGGCAGTACATGTCAGGGACCGTCCCCAAATAACAAGTGTCAGTATCACTGCTGGTGGAGGGAGGACTCTAGCGGAATTACAACAGGTGCAACTCGGCTGACGTTAACGCCGCCCCGCAGATGGTATTCGTCTTCAGCCTTTTGCCACACTTCTGGGGTAATTCTCGCAAAAGAAGCATACACAAGCTCTCTAGCGTCTGAAAGTGTGAATGTGGTATTAATGCGAGCAATAAAATTGTTACAGTCACCCCACATTCACCCCCCTGAAACCCCCTCTGGATCCGCCAATGGCCTTGTTTTGCAGTTTGTTCGTCAGTGATGTGCTGCCGGATGTTTTCCATGAGCTGGGGCTTTGTTTCTGATTGCCTGTAAGGCACGTTACAGGAAGTGAGAAAATCCTGCAACTGAGCCTTCAGACTGCCCATGGTGGGTGTAATGTACCAGGGACACGCAGGTTATGGTAACTGGTGTTATCCAAAATGATAACACTTGGTTCGTCCAGCTGCGGTAAAAGCTGATGTTCGAACCAATCCAAAAATACTTGCCCATTCATTTCGCTATGGTAATCACCATCAGATTTCTTGGCCTCAAAAACAAAGTCACAACCCCCAATCAGTCCCTTGCTACGGGTACCAGCATGCAAGATGATCAGGCGTCTACCTTTGCCTCATGGTAACACTGATGCCTCAGAACAATCTGAAGGAAGCCACATCTGATTGGTTGAGTGATTTTTATTACACCAGGTTTCATCAAGGTATATAATTTGAAACCCCTAATTGCGGTATTCTTCAACTGTTCTAAAAGAAGCCGATCGCATGGACAGGATTGAGTTCTTTTCTCTAAACACAGCTCTATCATCTCCCCCCTTTTGGTGTACCTGAAACCCATTTTTACCAGAGCTACAATAAGTGTTGTTTTCGAGACATTTATTGTATCTTTGATTTCATCTTGTATTTTAGCACACGTCGGTGGGATTTTGCGTTCATACAGTTTATAAACTGCACGGCGTATGACACCCTTATCAAGCTATCCAGTTTGTTTCCTACCTGGTTTTGATTTTGAAACGACCCCCTGAGGTAACTGATTTGTTTACAACTCTGTAAACCTGACTATATGTCAAATTAAGGGCTTTACACATTCTATAGTAAACCCTGTCATAGCTGACGAGAGGTTTCTCCCTTTGTTTCTCCAGTATAAAATACTGGTATAAATTTGAAATTAATTGTTCTGCAGAGATATCAAGTCGCATGTTGCCAGTTCAATGCTCATACACGAAGTGAAAATTCTATGGGTGAACAAGATTTTCTATGCGATTTGAATTAAGACTTTTTTACGTAATTATTTTGAATATAACTACTACAAGAGTTCCATCACATATAGCTGTTAAAAAAACAACATTGTTGTACAATCATTTATGTTACTTAATTAGTTGAGGCTATATGAATAATTATAGTATGTATTTCAAAACTACAGTTTGTACTTAGAATATTTAAGAATGTTGTTAAAACATCAAAATTTCCTTCTGTGAAGTCACCCCTCAAGTGCATTTTTTCATCTGAGCTTTAATATCCAACTAGGTAGAGTTGTACATGTATCATATACATGTATGTGCTTTTATCTTGTGTCAAATTCATCATATTGATATTGAAGCCAAAAAGCATTTTCCAAGCATTTCTAGCCTTACTTTACAACTATGTGTCCTGCCAAGGAGGGAAATATTCAAATACATGTCTGGCCTGGACAATAAATCCCTTTTACCTTGTCATAGTGGAACGTGCTGTACATATATTTCTGAGTTGTAGAAGTGAAAGGCTGCAGGTTGTTTGCAAGTCAATATAAGTCCCCTGATACAGTTAAACTCAACTTCTGTTTATTTTGCAAACTAATTGCAGGGGTGGAAATAACCCATTGCCCCATGCCCCAGTCCAGTGGTTTTTCTGTCAGGCTAGCAAATTTGTATGTCACTCTGTACTGGTGTCCAGTTGACTTTCCAATGTTAATTATGTTGTTTATTTAAAAAGTCAACAAGAAAATCGGCCGGTATAGTGGAAGAATTATCAGGGCAAGTGATTTTACATGTGCCACTGTACCGGAGGACACTAGCAATTTAAAGTTATGTCCACCCCTGTGATTGTTGCTCTGAAGTGCTGTAGCATGGTATCTCAATGAGCTAGAGCTATACAGGCAGGATTAGTCTTAGCTAGTTCAAGCAGTCATGCATGCACCTTGAATGCATACACACTTGTGTGCACATGTATGCATGCATACAAACGGGTTCATGTACACACACATGCACACACGCAGGCACATATGTGCATGCATGCCTCCTTTAAAGTGTAATACATGTTATGTTGAATGTAACGTTAAATCCTATTTCACCTAACCTCACCTGAAATGACCACAAGTCTGAAACATTATGGATGCCTGGTAGTACCATCAAACATAGGACAGAATGATGTTACCGCAGATATATGAATGGGAAGAAACTGACTTTCTTAATAAACATTATTGCAGAAAATTGTTAAATTTCAATTTTCTCTTCAGATGCATTTGATGTGCCAGATCTACAAAGTCAACAGAATTTATACAGGTCAGTAAACATGTTGAAGGTTCCAGAAACATGCCTAGAATAGGGAAAATAGTTATTATTTATTAAATTTCAGGATTCCTCACAAAACATGCATAGTAGAATATTTAATTTGTTTGAAGATGAAGTCTGTTTGACAGCAGAAGGATCAGGTTTGTGAGTGAGTGACTTTGGTTTTATGCCACACTCAGCAAAATTCCAGCTGTATGGCGTCGGTCTGAAAATAATTGGGTCTGGACCAGACAAGCCAGTGATCGACAACATGAGTATCGATCTACGCAATTGGGATATGATGACATGTGTCAGCCAAGTCAGCGAGTCTGGCCACCTGATCCTGTTAGTCACCTCTTATAACAAGCATGGGTTGCTGAAGACCAATTCTAACCTGGATCTTCACGTCTGGCATCTGTAGGACTATACAATGATGAGTGTATATTTATGATATTGAGACAGGGAGAAAAATGTAATGAGGTGTTTATTGTGTAATTGTGAATAAAGAAAGGTATAAATATATTAATTATTTTTTTGTGTGGATTAAATGACCATCCGTAGTTGTGTCACACATGGATTTCCATTATGGAATTTCTTGGTTTCAGACAGTACTCCGCACAAGGCTTGGAGCACACAACATCCTACAAGTATGTTCACACCACCAAGTACGGCAAGTACTCCTTCATCTCGGTGGATGCATGTCCAGACCCAGGTCCACGTAGGCCGTTCAACTTCTTTGGTCAGCTCAATGATGTAAGTTCAAAGAAGCCGTCTTCTCAATCAACAGTAATTCTTCAGTTTCTAGGCACTGCTTGCACGAGCAAAACTTTCTTCTTTTATTGAATGATTACAGGTCTAATGTTATTATTAACACACATACTGACATTAACATTAGGGGTGTGGGGTAGCCTAGCGGTTAAAGATCTAGTTTCGATTCATCATGCAATATAAATTATTGCTTGAATATTGCTGAAAGTGTCAGAAAACTAAGACTCTCTCACTCAACCACTCACTCAACGACAAAAATTAAAAAATAAAGAAATTATACAAAGGGACAATGCTTCACTTCAAAGCAACCGTTAGTTTGACACAGGGGTGTTTGTAGTTCCCACATGAGTTACAAATTTTGTTTAAAAAGCATGCAATATTTTTCTTTATTTATTGGGTCAACAATGAGCAATATTCAAACCATATCATAGCAATATGTAAATCATGGCACGATAATTAGACTAAAAGTTGATCATTATGTAAGATCTTCCATGCTGTCAGTGTAATGTGTAAAGCCCATTTCTGGTGTCCCCTGTCATGATATTGCTGGAATATTGCTAAAAGCGGCGTAAAATCATACTAACTCACTCACTCACTCACTCACTCACTTACAAACAGTGATGAATTCTGAAATAAACAGAAATCCAGAGTACATTTAACAGGTATAAGGGGAGGTAATTCCTAAATGAAGTGACACAATTTACCATTTACCTATACATACTATATTGTCACAGAAGTTGTCGGTAGTGAGGGGAGGGTCTGCCTGGACAGCTGAAGGCTGGTGTTTTGATCTCATACCAAAAGACATTGAAAGATGGTTCTTGTTGTTATTCTGCCTTTGGTGGGCATTAGCATGGTTAAGAGGCTTATATAAATAAGGTCTGGTAGGCTCAGAGAAGATTTAGTGTGTCAGAGGGGTATCCATGTCAACATGAGGCAAGGTATTGCCGTGGGCAAGCAGTTTAAAACCAACATTAGTGCATGCTGGTAAAAGAAACACCTGCAGCACAGTGAGTGAGTTTAGTTTTACGCAGCACTCAGCAATATTCCAGCTATATGGCGGCGGTCTGTAACTAATCGAGTCTGGACCACACAATCCAGTGGTTAACAGCATGAGCATCGATCTGCGCAATTGAGAACCGATGACATGTGTCAACCAAGTCAGCAGGCCTGACCACCTGATCCCGTTAGTCGCCTCTTACGACAAGCATAGTCGCCTTTTGTGGCAAGCATGGCTTGCTGAAGACCTATTCTTCCCCGGATCTTCACGAGTCCGCAGCACAGTAGTCGTGCACATTTTTGTGCAGTAATCTTGACGACGACATTTAACCCTATGACACATATTTCACCATGAATATTATTTTCTGTCTTTGAAATATTGATGAGTCTAAAGGCCCAATTGCACAAACTGTTTTGTGTTAGTTGCAAGAACAAAGGACATGGCTCTTGCAGTTGTTCCTATATGTCCTCATTAAGTACTGTCTTGAGTCCTCTCTTTGTCTTGGACGGGTGATTGGGTAGCCTTGTGGTTAAAGCGTTCGTTTGTCACGCCGAGGACCCAGGTTCAATTCCCAACATGGGTACGGTGTGTGAAGCCCATTTCTGGTGTCCCCCCACTGTGATATTGCTGGAATATTGCTAAAAGCGGCATAGAACCAACTCACTCACTCAATGGGTCTTAGAGACAAATGCTTGAGCTTCACAAAAGACCGATCTCTGTACTGTAAGCAGTTTGCCCCTTTACTCTTAAACATACCACACTGGTTCCTGTATAACTCTAGATGCACTGCAGCTTGGGGACACAGGGAAATGTTTGAGTGCAGTATCAGGATTTAGACGCACTGTGGTTCAATTTCAGGATCGTGTGACGGAGCTTCAGAGACATAGAGATGAAACAAAAGACAGTAACCAGACAGTGTGGTTTGGTCACTACCCCCACCTCCCTCATAGTGCAGGATCCACCAGGTCTCAAACACATCATGAGGTAAGATTTAATTGTTGTTTAACGCCGCACTCAGAAATATTCCAGCTATATGGCGGCAGTCTGTAAATGATCGAATCTGGACCAGACAATCCAGAGATCAACAGCATGAGCATCGATCTAGGCAATTGGGATACGTTGACATGTGTCAACCAAGTCAGCGAACCTGTCAGTTAGTTGCCTCTTACGACAAGCATGGGTTACTGAAGATCAATTCTAACCCGGATCTTCACGGGTCACCATCATGGGGTAAGAGCAGCTGTGAGTGAGTGAGTGAATGGAACTCGCCACAGTGTTAATGGAATTACCCCTAGTGTTAGCTGAATGTAAGGTGGAATTATCACAGTGTTAGTGTAGTGTAAGATGATATCACCAAAGTGTTAGTGAGGTGTAAGATGAGGTGTAAGTGGTCTTTCCTGAAGGCTTGAGCCTTGTGGTCCTTTAAATTGGATTTTGATTCTCCCAAATTCAGGCCTGAATATGTTTCTAGGTTTACCGGCAACATAAGCATGGTTTCTAAAATCCTAATATCAGCATCACTCTGTTCTTTTGTCACACAAACTGACTTGCCTTCATATAAATGAGATCAAGTTCAAAGCAGCACAAATCTCTCCCACTTTTCGACAATGATGTTTTTTCAAACAATTATAAATACATCATGATTTTTTTACATCACTTTTTGATACCTTCATCCATTAATATTTTCTCTATTGTTCACAGACAAGGGATTGTGTACCTGTGTGGCCACCTCCACACCCTGAACGGCCTGATGCCGAACATGTACACCCGACACAAGACTGGCATGCTGGAGTTGGAACTGGGAGACTGGAAGGACAACAGGATGTATGTACCCAATTCAGGATGAAATCAGATTGTAAATAAATAAATTGAAGTAAAAATACTCCTTTTTAACAAATTCATGTATATCCGATTCCAGTGATAATAAATAACTAAACTCATATAGGGATATGGTTTGATTCATGGAATATGCAAGGGAATCGTAATAGCCCTAGTGTTTACATATCTGCCTTACCAAAACTTAGAATATAATTATAATACACACTTATATGGAGCTGGTATCCAGCAATAAACTGCTGCTCAAAAGCACTTTTGAGTTTTAGACACTCATTAGTTCTTGTAGGCTGATCTAAACAAATGAGTTCTCAGCAATGATTTTGAAGTCCTTAGTTCATTTGCTGGTCAATCAACAGATATGGCCTGAATGTCTGAAAGGCCTGTTCTCCGTCTGTTTTAGCACCAGATTCTGACCAAAATGATCATAAAGGTTTATAGGCTTGCACAAGATCAGCCAGATAAGCATGATAATGGTGTAAAAAGGGCCCTCACTTCTTCATCATGGTAATGTCAGAATGTACTGTATATGAGGGTTTTGTATGCTGTGTGATTGTTGTGCAGATTCCGTATCTTGGTGTTCGACCATGACATGCTGTCCTTCCTGGATGCCAGGCTGGGGGAGTGGCCACTTGTCATCATCACCAACCCCAAGCATGCCTTGTTCCAGTCCGAGTCTCACGAACCTCTGTACCGACAGAGGGAATCAACACATATCAGGTAGCTGACAAAAGCCGTGTTTTGGTCATTTTTTTGTTTTTTTGGTAGGAAAAAGATAATTCAGATGGGTTGTTTTGGTTTTCAATAGCAAATTGAATGTATTGCCATACATTTTATAATGGCACAAGCAAGGCCATGCTCGAAATACAATGTGACATTAAATACAATGTGACATTATCGTTTGTGCCACCTTCTGAGAACAATTTGTTGTTGACATGGTCCATGTTTATTTCAGGATTCTTATATTCCACACAGTGAAGATAGACTCAGTGTCTGTGTATATAGACAACCGTTTCCTTGGCAATGCCCATCATATTGAAGGGCCCTTGTATGTCTTTCAATGGAACCCCCTGTCTTACAGCACAGCTATTCACAGTATCAGAGTGACAGTGGAGGTAAGGGCATCTCATGACTTCCCGCAAGTGATACAAGCATATTAACATCAGGCTTTTATACAAAAAATCCCAGTTGCACATATCGATGCTCATGCTGTTGATCACTGGATTCTCTGGTCCAGACTCGATTATTTACAGACCTCCACCATATAGCTGGCATATTGCTGAGTGCAGCGTAAAACTAAACTCAATCACTACCTCAGAGCTAGGCCAAAGCCATACATTACTGCTGACAAGTGGTAACAACTGACTTGTTTAAAGGTGCTTGTTCTGTTGGCAGAACTGAGTTTTCCAAATGTTCTGCCTGGATATTCTCATGCAGCTGCTGAAGCAAATTAGGATCATATTGGCTCTTGATGATGTGACCTTTTGGGAGGTAGTCCAACAGTAGGATATTTCCTGCTTGACAGCAGTTCAAGAATCTGTAATGAAACATCGCACTCATGAAAGAAGTTTTTATGGATAAAGTTTGTCACTATTGAAAGGTTTAGGGTTGTGAGATTATGTCCAACATGCCTAATTATTCATTTCAAGGATATCGAGGGCAAAAAGAAGAATGTTCAACAGCCATTCTCAATAGATGGCAGCCGACCTGACTTCCTCTTAGCTCCTCGTATTCTGCTCATGATGAATATCTCCTCTGTGGTGAGTCTTCCCTACATCATTGATCTTGTGTTATTACACTGAGATTTGTTGTTACAGTGAGATTTGTTGTTACAGTGAGATTTGAGATGCTATTATAAAAATATTCCTGTGTCCTCACAAAAGAGTACACAAATATGTTTTTTTTGTTTGTCTGGTCTCATGTGAAGGTTAGCAATACAGAGAGAAGGTGAATGGGATGAGTCGTAGTAAGTCAAAATTATAAATGCAGCTCTCCTTAGGCACAATTCTGTGGTGTAGTAGTTAGAGCGTCCGCCCGGAGAGCGGAAGGTCGCGGATTCGATTCCCGTCCGCGTCATACCAAAAGACGTTAAAATATGGTACTTGTTGTTCCCTGCCTGGTGCTTGGCATTAATTGGTAAAACAAGGACTGTCCGGCTCGGAGTCAGTATAATGTGTCTGAGTGGGGTATTCATGCTTAACTGGGGCATAGTATCTCAGTGGGCTAGCACTATAAAACCAGCTTAAGTCTGGGCTAGTACAAGCAGCAACACATACACACGCATGCACGTCATCATATGAGCGAAATATTCTTAAGTACAACGTTAAACCTCATTTCACCTCACCTCACCTTAGGCACAATACAAACACACTTATAATGAACTGTTGTTTTGCCCTGTGCACTTGCTGTATAGTTGAGTCTGTTTGTTGGTGTTCCAGGGCAAGGTGGTATTTGCTGCCATGGTGTTTGTGTACATACTGTTCTTAGGCTTCCTGCGACAATGCTCAAACATAAGGAACTTCTTTTTTATAGGTGAGGAAACAGTCAAGTTGATTGTCCTTAAAATTTTCAAATGATATTATCATATATGTCATAATTTTCCCATTTTCGCAATTTTCCAGAATGAGGTATTGGTTGCCCGTTATCTAATGCTCCACTGAGTTGTGCCCCCTAGCTGTGTTAGGATCTGCCACATTATACTTAACATAATAATTAACCATTTAACTTTTATCTGGCATTGTTTTATGTGAATGGATTAAGATTACCATATGTATTTTGTTGTAAACTTAGGGAGAAATAGCTATTAGTTGTGCGCTTGTTTTCTTCCAATGTATATTGGTGATCCGGTTAAAGCATACTCAGTAAAAACAAATTTGATGCTATGATCTTAAGAAATACTTTTATCAGCACTATACTGTTGATGTGAATTAGTAGCCATGTGTTCATCAGGTTATGGTGTTATTTTCAGGGCAGTCCCTACTAGAATATTATGTGAACCGGTGGCTATGGAAGTTATGGCTGACCGCGAGAACTAACAGCATTTACTACCCTGTACTTGGTGCTATTCTTTATGTAACATTTGGTAAGTTGTAACCTGTCATTTGTCCAATGTAAGATGTAATGTTACTGGTCCAAGGTTAGTGGGGATGGTATGTGACCAATTTAAGATGTAATGTTACAGGTCCCAGGTTTGTGGGGATGGTATGTGACCAATGTAAGATGTAATGTTACAGGTCCCAGGTTTGTGGGGATGGTATGTGACCAATGTAAGATGTAATGTTACAGGTCCCAGGTTAGTGGGGATGGTATGTGACCAATTTAAGATGTAATGTTACAGGTCCCAGGTTAGTGGGTATGGTATGTGACCAATTTAAGATGTAATGTTACAGGTCCCAGGTTTGTGGGGATGGGGATGGTATGTGACCAATTTAAGATGTAATGTTACAGGTCCCAGGTTAGTGGGGATGGTATGTGACCAATTTAAGATGTAATGTTACAGGTCCCAGGTTTGTGGGGATGGTATGTGACCAATTTAAGATGTAATGTTACAGGTCCCAGGTTTGTGGGGATGGGATGTGACCAATGTAAGACCAATTTAAGATGTGACCAATGTTACAGGTCCCAGGTTTGTGTGGGATGGTATGTGACCAATGTAAGATGTAATGTTACAGGTCCCAGGTTAGTGGGGATGGTATGTGACCAATTTAAGATGTAATGTTACAGGTCCCAGGTTTGTGGGGATGGTATGTGACCAATGTAAGATGTAATGTTACAGGTCCCAGGTTTGTGGGGATGGTATGTGACCAATTTAAGATGTAATGTTACAGGTCCCAGGTTTGTGGGGATGGTATGTGACCAATTTAAGATGTAATGTTACAGGTCCCAGGTTTGTGGGGATGGTATGTGACCAATGTAAGATGTAATGTTACAGGTCCCAGGTTAGTGGGGATGGTATGTGACCAATGTAAGATGTAATGTTACAGGTCCCAGGTTTGTGGGGATGGTATGTGACCAATGTAAGATGTAATGTTACAGGTCCCAGGTTTGTGGGGATGGTATGTGACCAATTTAAGATGTAATGTTATAGGTCCCAGGTTTGTGGGGATGGTATGTGACCAATGTAAGATGTAATGTTACAGGTCCCTGGTTTGTGGGGATGGTATGTGACCAATTTAAGATGTAATGTTACAGGTCCCTGGTTAGTGGGGATGGTATGTGACCAATGTAAGATGTAATGTTACAGGTCCCTGGTTTGTGGGGATGGTATGTGACCAATGTAAGATGTAATGTTACAGGTCCCTGGTTTGTGGAGATGGTATTTGACCAATGTAAGATATAATGTTACACATTTCTGGTTGTTTGGATGATATGTGACCTATGTGATGTTACTATGGTTACAGGTCCCTGGTTTGCGGGAGACTTCCTGGAGCACCACACCGGCCTGCTGTTTGTGTGGGGGCTGTTTGTACATGGCTCCTTTATCCCAGGGGGCCATACATACTTCTATGGCATTTTCCATGTGAGTTCAGACAACCCATATGAAATATAAAGGCGTAATGAATTACTTATTTACAACAGGACAATTACAACACGGAAAAGTCACTGAATAATATTGCAATGTGGGAACATAAGTAATCAGGGCTTCCTTGAAGCTGCTATTCACTATGAGGCATACCACATTCAAATGATCCACCTGTGAAGATCTGGGTTGGAAATGATCTACAGTAATCCATGCTTGTCGTAATGGTGACTAACGGGATCAGGTGGCCAGACTCGCTGACTTGGTTGACACATGTCATCATATCCCAACTGCGTAGATTGATGCTCATGTGCTGTTGATCACTGGATTGTCTGGTCCAGACTCAATTATTTACAGACCGCCGCCATACAGCTGGAATATTGCTGAGTGCGGCATAAAACTAAACTCACTAACTCACTCACTCACTCACTCAAATGATCAGAATACATCATCACATCACAATACATACCTGCACTCCTAGACTAATTCTTTATCATTATGAAGGAACAACAGAAATGATTATAACAGTATTAATTCCCTCCTTTTCAGGTGATAACTTTCCATATTCCTCTGCTCCTCCATCTAAGTCATTCTCTGGACCTTCTCTACATTGCAAGTGGAAACCTACAGGAGGTCAAAGTCCGCCGAATCACTCCATTCCAACGAATCACCCAGACATATCTTCCATTTGCTATTCTGTTCCTCTTCCAGTTATTCACGACCCTCACAGAGTTCCCGGGGGCGTACGGGACCAAGGCTATCACCCTGGGGCCTGTACGGACAGGGTCTTTGTTCCTTACTGCCTACCTACAGTACTCTTTGTTTCACATCCCCCTTCAGCGAGTACAAAGCGTTAACTACAGTTAATGGTGACTGTTTTAGGGTTTATATTTGTGTCCATAGTAAAAACATTGAGTGACAGGTCATGTAGTTTCTACAAGTGTGCACTGTTATCTCAATGTTTTATACTTGATATTATGGAAGATGTTTTTTAATTGTTAATGGTGATTTTGCTAAAGTAATTTTTTTTCATGGTTTGCGATGTTCTAAATTATCAGGGGATTCTTGAGACCGGCGGTTGTGTTTTAATCAGGGTTCCACTAATTTAAACCTTTTTAAAATGAGAACTATGACAAGGAGCCTCTGACCTTCATGGTAATTTTCCAAGTACATACTGTTACTTCCTTTGAAATTTATCTTGATTTAGGGACAAAATATCACCTGAAAAATTCCTTTTTGACGATTTGTCATCTTTTATATGGTGACTTATGCATTTGAATGTACTCTGTGATCTAGCAAAATGACAGGATGTCTGTTTTAGCCCACCAGAAATGTAAAATTTGAAACTTGTCAGAAACGTTTTTCATACTTAATGGCTAACAACTTGAATTTATTTCTTTCCTTTTTAGTCTTCCAAGTTATAGATTTCTGTGTCTGTGTCTCCAACTTATTTTTTTGTATTTATGTCTTCAGATATATATACTTAACAGTTAAATCAATCTAAAATATCATATTTACTAATGGTGAAGGATTGCTTTGAACTTGAAACTGATCCTTTTGTTTTAGATTTTCTTTCATATTCTGTCTCACCGAGAATGATTCTTGCATCTACATTAATCCTTCTTTGTCAAAGGTTTACAATGGAAACACAACGATCAATCTCATTATAATCAAATTTTTTACTGTGAAATGACATATCTCCGTGTTGAGATCTTAGAACTCCACAATGAAGATCAGGTCAGGTGAACTTTTAGTCAGCCTTTCAGCATCAAGGCTTCTGAATTCTTGAAAACAAATATGGTCCAGGAAATCTGAATGTGATAATTAAAGCTGTACTATTATATTAGTGTCGATAAATTCTCAACTGCGTCACTTGTGAACACCATGGCATCTGGGGGTGAAATGAGTGAGTGAGTGAGTTTAGTTTTAAGCCACACTCAGCAATATTCCAGCAGTCAAGTGGAGGTGAAACTGTATACCACGGTATTAGTAGAACCACAGTATTTTGCTTTCGGTTCGGTATACCGTAGTGCAATACCAAAATTCTGTTTTCGTAACATCATTTCTATCTGGTCATAAGATTATAGTTTTGTTCATTCAAATTAAAAAAAAATCGTGGTTATGTTTTTTCATGTTAATAAACAATGTAAGGTTTGGCTCTTGTCAAGTCTCATATACCAAACCGCAATGGACCGAACAGACGGCCATGTACCGCAATACCATGTACCATGGTAAGAGTGTACCGTTTCACCCCAAATGACATCTACACCTAAAAGATCACTTCTGACAGGTTTCTTTCGCAGAGATTGAAAATTCTTTATGGGGACAGAAATCAAGCCAAATTATGTTAGAAAGTTGATGTCTGATTTGCTCAAGAAACCACATATCCTTAATTTGGACTGGTCTGACAAAGTTTCTTCAGTATGTGGGTGTACTCTGTGCAAACTGACACAGACAAATATTGTATCAGAGAAATAGAGTTGAATGAGATGAGATAACAACATGATACCCATCGAAGCTATTGATGATGTAACTTGGATACATGTATGCCCCAGAACATAGTGTTTTAGGAAAAGAAACATATGCTATAGAGTTTTCTTTTACCTTTATGTGCTTATATCTGAGTCTTAATTCAAAGTGGACAGAAGCTGTCTCCATTTACTTACTGTTTACAAGATGAATAAAATGTTTTTAAACTTACCCTGGAATGAATTGGAAAGATGACAATCGGTAACATAAAAACTTCTGAGCTGACAGTGAGAATTTTGAATTCTAAGCTCATTTTAAACAAATATTGGATAGAGTACATGTGCACTCATTGTCTTCCCACAGAGATTACTTGTCATATCTTCCTACGAACCTCTGTTCTAATACGGCCCTTTCATGGTGCGAGTGTTCAGGATTCATGATTGGTTGCAATCAGATTTAGTTGTGCAATCAGCGACGTTGTTTCAAAAGTGATCATTCGCAAAGCCTCAGTAATTTCTGTATGCTTCGGGAAAACTAGAACCTCTTCACGTGTCTTAAAGACAGAACTCAGTCATGTAAATAGCGGATCAATGGCGTTTCAATCGCTCTCGTTAAGCTAGCCATTAAATGCCTTGTGTGTCACATCAACACAAGTCCACGGCTGAGGAGGGATATTTGTGGCCCCACATTTGCTTGTATTAGTCGAGTTCGATCTAAGTCGATGTAACACGTGTTCTGATTGGCTAGAAAGAAGGGAGACAATTTGTGTTGCGATTTTGTGCCGCTAGGGGATTTTATGAGAACCGGGAAATGTGGCCGTATTAGAACAGAGGTTCGTAGGAAGATATGACAAGAAATCTCTGTGGGAAGAGAATGATGTGCACTGAACAATGCGGCTATAGAGCAAACTAGGTTTCATGAGCATCCGTCATCAGATATATGAGACCGCATCAAAATACAGACTATAGAACCTTTTGCCAAAGGAGGGAGGATTGTTTTGATGTTATGATCGGGAGAATATGACATTCATAAATGATAATATATACACGAGATGTAAGCAAACAGATGTGGTTGGTTAATTGAAAGCAACATCTGACTTGTGTTGGTAATTGAGACTCATAATGATTGTTTTAATATACCACAACAGGGTATAATGAAAACTTACCTCCAATCTTGTTTTGATTTAGAGTAAATGATAAACAATAATGATATGTGGAGGAACAACTTCTACATTGAAATCCCATATGGGACTCAACTTGTGTACTTCACTGAGAAAGTGTAATCCTAACTATATAACATGTGTTACATTTGACCACTTTCTGTATGGCATTGTGTATTCCTAACGTCTTCAAGGTTCTAACAAGCAAGTCAAAGCAGTGTTAGCAGCTACATGTAAATGTAAGTTGTTCGTTCATAGATCTTAAACTTACTAAGTACTTGCAGGGTTCCCACAAAACTTGGAAATTTCACACCCCATTTTCCAGTCTTGGAAAAATTATGGAATTTAAAAAAAATGGATGAAAGCATGTAAATATCATTGAATAATCTTGGGGTTTTTTTATCTAACAGAACTTTATATCTTACCAGTACTTCAAGGGCTATGGCAGCCTATCTAACAGAACTGTATATCTTAACAGTACTACAAGGGCTATGGCAGCCTATCTAACAGAACTGTATATCTTAACAGTACTACAAGGGCTATGGCAGCCTATCTAACAGAACTGTATACCTTAACAGTACTACAAGGGCTATGGCAGCCTATCTAACAGAACTGTATATCTTAACAGTACTACAAGGGTATGGCAGCCTATCTAACAGAACTGTATATCTTAACAGTACTACAAGGGCTATGGCAGCCTATCAAACAGAACTGTATATATTAACAGTACTACAAGGGCTATGGCAGCGATGTGTGTCTGGATTAGTTGTCATATAAGTGAATACTTTTGCAGCTAGGGTTTACTCATATGCATGTACAAGAGTTGGGTATGTGCATATGAGAAAATAAACCTGCAGCTATTTTAAGGGTATCAAAATACCCTTGGACATGTATTGTTGTGTCTGGAATAGCAATATTTGTCTTGAAATATCAGGGGAAAATCATGGAATGTCTTTTCACAAATATGTGGGAACCCTGACTTGAACTTTTAGATGCCTCTCAAAGAAGTGAGAGAGTAAATGGGAATAACAAACTACTTTTTGTCAGCCAATACTAGTCAGCTGGTCTGCTGTGTTGGTTGGGAAGAGTGAGTCATGTTCATCACTGACTGCTTATAACAAGAGAGCATTTAGTCATGGCCACTTCTTGTTTTATAAGGGAAAATAATTCACGCGATGAATTAAGCATTTACTCCAACGTTTTGTTCATTAAAAACATTGACATTCAGAAATTCTTGCTTATGTGAATCACTTCTAAACCCCAATCAGAGACTATTTGAAGATGTTTTTAGAATTTAGAACTAAGCTTTAAATGGAAGATCACTGATCAAACTCAGCCAGCTAAATGAATAGATAGGCCTATACCCATGACACTACAGTATACACAAGTCCATAGACCTAAACCCAGACCGAGATCAAATACAGCATAAAACCTCAGACATTGATATACTATGTTCTAGATATCCATATATATTTATGTGGTTATATAAAACCTCAGACATTGATATACTATGTTCTAGATATCCATATATATTTATGTGGTTATATAAAACCTCAGACATTGATATACTATGTTCGAGATATCCATATATATTTATGTGGTTATATAAAACCTCAGACATTGATATACTTTGTTCGAGATATCCATATATATTTATGTGGTTATATAAAACCTCAGACATTGATATACTTTGTTCTAGATGTCCATATATATTTATGTGGTTATATTTCATTCATTACTCATTGACATTTATTAAGACATGGTGACTAGTATGTGTGTTTTGGAGTGCTATTCTTTTTTCTTTATATTCAAACTTTTCTTGACAACTCTTACTTGTGGCATTATATTTCTTGTCTACTTTGTTGTTCTTCTCTTGCAAGTACTGTAAAGAAATGTTTTAATATGTGCATCTGAAATGACTGACACCGCTGTTTTGCACTTTTTAAGGCTTCATATTTTTAAGGGAAGATAACTCTATCAAGTAGTTTCAAACTGAAAATGTTGAATTCCGGTAATTGTATAGCCGTCAGTGTACTTTCTTGAACAATCAGTGTGCAGAGATTGGGTGTTACTGAGTGAGTTTGTGAGTGAATCCTAACAGCCCTTTTATACATCAATCAAGGTTGGCACTTGATCTGTGTTTACATCATAACATGTACATACTCAACAACAAAAGTTAAGGACCACCCCAATTTTCAATATTAAAGTATTTAATAGTTCATATTATGATCCATATTTCCATAACCTTTTTTGTTGAGTACCTATAGAAATTCCCTGGATCTGCCAATGTATTACACAATACTGTATGTGGCATAATTTTTCTTTCATTTTAGGGTTTGAACACATTTTAAAGTCACCTGTACCTTAACCAGGTCAATGTGAAGACTGTAGAAGAGCCCAAGCATACTGAGTATGCAAGTGATTAGGGTTTGCCAAAGTGTTACCGGTACCTCATTTACTTTCATGACAATTCATATACATGTATATATGTGTATTTATTTATTTATGTTATTTTTTGCAGTGAGTTGATATGTATTGAGACAATTAAGATTTAAATTTGTCTTCTCTTTAACCTGATTGCCATAACTGTAAGGTCCGAGTTAACATAGCGTGGAACAGAGACCCAATTTCCGGTTTGTGTACTGGTACCTATTCTTCGAACTTAAAGAAAAGGACAAAATGTGATACAGTACTTTTAGTAAAGTGTTAATTATGCTGCACAATGGAGAAGAGACAGGTTCTTTTGCATGCATTGATTTAGAAACATGGATATGATGCGAGAAACACTTTGGTAGTAAGATGATTTATCAATGACCTGTTTAGGGGCATTGTCACTTTTAGTTTCATGTTCAGCGAATTAATTATCATATCATATAATTTATAATTTGTGATCAGTGCTAGTCAGCACCAAACTTATCAATCATAAAGCACAATAAAAACAGATGAATTTCATAATTTTATTCAGTTTATTTTGACAAGATTGACGCCAGTATTTTGGTGACATATTTGACCTGTACAGCACACTTGCAATCAATAAGCTGGAAAATATACATGTGACATACTTTCAAAATGATACCCCCTGATGAAGAAGTGCAGTAGGGTAGCCTTCTGGTTAAAGCGTTTGTCACCCTGAAGACACATGTTCGATTCCCCCATTTCTGGTGTCCCCTCACTGTGGTATAGATGTAAAACCATACTCACTCCTGACGAAGGGTTTGTTTGGGAATCCCCAAAACCTAAAGTCAATCCTTCCTTAGATATATACAATCTTGACATCTTAATGTTGATAAAATCTGTATTGCAGTCTTTACGTCATGCACATATTAATGAAAACAGGATATTGAGAACATTGACTGAATGTTGGATTGGTCTGCCATATTTATGCTGCAGCCAATGATTTGTCTATACCCATGGTAACACAACTTGGCCTTGAACAGACTGACTGAGTATGGTTTTACGCCGCTTTTAGCAATATTCCAGCAATATCACGGCCGGGCACACCAGAAATGGGCTTCACACATTGTACCCACGTGGGGCCTTGAACAGACAAACCAGTGGTTTGAAGATGCAATATCACCTAGGTTTCATACTGTAACGATCTGATACTGTCAATAACACTAAAACAGATCTAATTTGACATTACCATTTTATGGATCTATTGTAGCTGATTTTGTACAGTATAAATCTGGAGTTATGTCTCTTGACACCAACTTTTCAGGAAATGATAACCTTATCTTTTAAGAAAAGCTGACATTTTGCACATGTTAGAGTTAAAAAGAATAACTTAGGATCCAACAAATTGAGAGGATATATATGCCTTAAAACAGATCACACTACATTATCACACTCACACATCTCTCACACACACACACACACACACACACACACACACGTCCAGCAATGAACAATGGTTTACATCAAGATGACCACAACTGTGGAATGAAAAAATGAGCATTTCGAGATAAATGCAATGTTTTCATATTGTCCTATTATATTTTATTCAAAGTCATACATTATCAAACAGCAGTGTTTACTGTTGCAGTAACGAGGTATGTTGTATCACCTTTACGATAAAGTTGTCCTTGGTAAGTTAGTGACTTGTTATACTAATTGTTTGTGCAATAATCGAGAATACAGCACATGTTCTTAAACGTCCAAACACATGTAACGTAGATACTACCTAAAGCTGCACCATTATTAACAGCATTATTCCTCCCGCTGTGTAAACTGGTTTCCTTTTGTCCACCTACAAAACAGTTTCTGGTAAAATCTTGAAAGGAAATATATTTTATAGAAAGTCATTATGTACTGAGAGGTTTCAAATAGAATTATCATGCCCTCCATTCCACAAAGTCATTTTATTGCCTCCTCAATGAATTGAATAAAGATGGTAATAGGGCCTATTCGATTATGCTAAACCTGTTTTTGGTTTCGGGAAAACCATGCACTCGATTATGTCGAAACCTAAAACTGGGTTCTGAAACTTCGAAACCATCTCCGAGGCAGGTTTCGCAGTTTCGGTTTCGCGTTCTCGCAAATAAACATGGCGGAAACGAAAGAGCCAAGTTCAGCTGATCTTTGTGGCAAAATAGAGCAGCAGTTTTTGGAACCAAAATAATGATAAAAATCAACTGAGAACAAGGAAAATATTATTTAAAACCCCAGTCTATTGAACATGACTATTTTATGTAACTTGTATATATATAATTACTTCTAACAGTATAATTATATATACGCAAATATTTACCTCCAAAAGCATCTCATCTCTTTATTATTTGTTAATTCACTGATAAAATGAAAAACATATGCTGTCATCCAATTTGTTCCACATATACAGTAGCTGAGACACTTTTTTTGTATCCATTTTGAAACCGGATGGTGAAACCATCCACTCGTTTATAGAACTAGTAACTAGTTTCACTTTGAAACCATGTATCCGAAACTAGACACTCGTTTATAACAGGAGAAACCAGTTTCAGAAACCAAAACCAGTTTCGCAATAATCGAACAGGCCCTAACAGTCCCAGTGTAAGACTGACAGAGGTTCCATCCCAGCTGAAAGGAACAAGGTACATCAAACATTTCAGATTTGTTCCTGTTAGAACTCACACTCAGTTCCATCTTGAGCATAAAACAGTAAGGTCCACTAGAAGATGTACAGTGGAACTAGGTTACCCCATCATATGCTGTATAGTCGGGGAAGTGAATTTGCCCCATTTCAGGTTCAGACAAGACTACCATTTTCACCCAGAATCAATTTATTTCTCTTAAAACCCCTGCCCCACATGGGCTGTGAACTAATTGCACCGAATCAGTCAGGCTGCACTGCAGAAACACATCCTCTACACAATCAGACACTTGAAAAAGATCCTCTCCAAGATGCTGGATATATGCTGCATGAACAGAAATTTGTACAGATCATGCTCTTCTCATGTAAGAGAGGTCCTCTTCAAAATGTTCAGAGGAAATCATCCACTGATCTTCCACATTCTACCCTTGAAACAGCAGACGGACCAACCCCTGACATCTAAGACCTTGTAAGACGCATCCCTCTGAATTTGCATCATGACATGTGTAGAGACGAGAAATGTGCGGCTCCCCGGCCTGCAGGTGGCATCGTGGGGGTAGACATCTTGGATACACTTTCCCCAGCGTGTAGCACTGATGGAGTGAACCCTCCTGATGTGTTAGTCCTGTATGACTGAGGGGGGTAGGGTGGGGCCACACTTGGAGGGGACTGTGGCCGGGGAGGAGCAGAGGGGGAAGGGACGGGTGTATAGTTGAATGATGGTGTTCCCATCATGGCGTAAGCTGATGATCGTGTCCAGTCATCCTTGAAGATCTGTATGTTGAGGACTGACACAAGGTTAGACAGACGGTTGTAGACATGAGCCAGCACCATCTGCTCGTCAGCATCCCGGCGGACTCGGACTTGAACTGACCCAGCCTGGCAGCAGAAAAGCATAGTGAGTGAATCAAGTTGTCTTCCCTTGACAGCATTATTTCAGCAATGTCAAGGTTCTACTGCACTAAATCAGTTGCTCTCCTAGCTGTATTAATTTTCAGCTGCGTACGAAATAATCGCCTGCCCGAAGGCCCAGGGCCGGTTGTTATTGTATCGGGCCGGCGGTTTCAAATATTTGCAGGACCTTGTGGCCTTCAGTAAATTATCTGTCAAATTTGTTTTCCCACTGGAATCTTTCCCATAATTGTTTTCTTTATTAACGTTCGGGAATCATCCATGATCCATCTTGTAACGACAACTTACAGCTTCACGATAACTTATTTCAGCGTTTTGCGCATAGGAATGTCAACACCAGTCTTTAACAAATAAAAATTTGTCTCAGCGCCATATGCTTCACCAAAATGATTTTGTAGAAACAGTGTGAAACTGTGTACAGTGTAGTCTATTTGGTTTTTATTGGTTTGACTTTAACAAAATGGGCCTGCAGATTTCATTTAGGGATTGTAGATTTTAAAGCCTGCAGGCGGCAGCAGGCCCTGTTGGCCAAATGGCAAATTAAAGTATTGCAAACACTGCCTGTCAGTGATCTATCTTTAACCAAATCAGATGAAGGTCACGTCAAAAATGATTTACATGTAATCACATAATCCAAATTAGGAGTTAAAATATTCATCATTTAGTATGTTGTGTACCGACCTTGGGTAGAAGGTCCTTCACCATGTTCACTTACCAGGATCCCAAAGGACAGGGTCCAGAAGTGCTCATGTCTGAACTCCAAAACACCATCCAAGGTGGACGCCTCCCTCAGGACCTTGTCTAGTTGACCCAAGATGTGAGATGGCGTGGTCTAAACAAGTAAAGGCGAGACAATGTTAATGTTCCATGGCTCATCAACAGTTCCACATATGTGATTATTTATTTGGTTATTAATACCACACACTTCAACACTAATTTTCAAACTGAATGACAGTGGCCTGTAAATAATTGAGTCTGGATTAAACAATCGAAAGATCGATATGGTGAGACACGACCAATGCCACGAAGACAAGATATCAATCAAGTCACTGAGCATGACCATCTGGCCCCGATTTCTCGAAACAAACTTAAGTTTTTACAAAAAAATTCAAACTGAGTTTGACAATTTGAATCAGCTGAATGTTTAACTCAGCTGCATTTTTAAATAAAAAAGCCCAAACAACTTAAGTATTCTATTCACCAAACTCAAATTGTCTACTATGTTTGAGTTTAATATTGATTTCAGTTCAACATGGGAAATGCGTTTTCTCAAATTTGAGTAAAAATCTGAACTTAAGTCAAAACTCTTAAGTTTATTTCGAGAAATTGGGGCCTGATCCCATTTAGACGTCTCTAATGACTAGTGACCATTTCTAATCCAAATGCCTACAGGTTTGTTGGCACAAGCCCTGTGGCTGGAAGATTGATGAACATGAAAACTGAAAAAACAATCTTTCAAAATTGAAACAGGCAGGATTAGATTTTTCCTGTTACCATGACTACCAGTTATGTGACTCACCTGTAGCAGTATCTTGCCAGTGTACACACTCATGGGGAACAGAGTGCCGCACGTCATGATCGCGATGCACACTGCAGACCACGTGTCAGCAGAGTAATACAGTCTGGAACACAAGAGTGAGTGAGTGAGTGATGAGTGAGTGAGTGAGTGAGTGAGTGAGTGAGTGAGTGAGTGAGTGAGTGAGTGAGTGAGTGAGTGAGTGAGTGAGTGAGTGAGTGAGTGAGTGAGTGAGTGAGTGAGTGAGTGAGTGAGTGAGTGAGTGAGTGAGTGAGTGAGTGAGTGAGTGAGTGAGTGAGTGAGCAATATTCTCGCGATATCATGGCAGGAACATGAGAAATGGACTTCACACATTGTACCCATGTGGGGCATCATTTGTAAATACTTCAGGACCAAACGAATGTGAGGTAAATATTTGTTTAAGAGTTACCAAGAGGCTGAAAGGAAACTGAATCACTAATTTTGGCCTAACAAACAACATTTTCACCACATCAGACCTGTTACTCCTCCAGGATATAAGTCTATGAATGTAAACAGTGTTAGTATTGAAATACAGTTCCATATTAGATTTTGATACATCAAAGTTCTAAAGAATTAACTTCATTTTTGAGTGAGTGGAGTTCATATATATGTACAAGGATATATTTTAGCAAAATCATGACAGGCACATCACCAACAGGCTTCATACACTGTTCCCAAGAATGAAACTCAGCCTTCAGTTCAATGAGGGAACACTTTAACCACTTGACTACCCCACTGTCCCTTTATCATGTTGGAGGGCTGTCCAAAAGTTTATTGCTTTTCTACTACCATATTTCCTCTAATAAGCACCGGGTTTCTAGAAGTGCCGGGCCTCTAATAAGTGCCAGGGGCAAAGCAGCTCACTAACAATTACGGTAATTAGACCCAGTAAACTCAAAAGTGCCGGACCTCAAGTAAGTGTCCGGTCTGGAACTCTGTAGGGCTGTGACAATACACTATGTCAAGATACGATATGTATCGCAATATTTTACCTGCGATACGATACGTATCACGATACATACACCTTGAAAGAATGACACAGTATTAAGATTTAAAATGATTTATTTCAAGGTATTTGTGTATAACAATAACACTATTGTAAAAGACAAACAAGTAACTCTATCTTACTTGCATATTTTTCTCTAAATAAGTACATTAACATGTTTAAGATAATACTGTTTTGAAAAAAAGTTGTGTATCGTTTTGTATCGTTACACCAGTCGACGATACGATAGCTGTATCAAACTTAAATGTATCGTGATGTATCGGTGCATCGGTGAATCGTCCCCGCCCTAGAACTCTGTTGAAAAAATTACCGCCTGGGTGCTTATTGGAGGAAATACGGTATATTTGACCTGCTTTAAAGCTTACTGCATATGCACTGAGCAGCTGGACTCCATATTACCATTCTACTTCCTTTAATTTTATGACAATTCCCATGGGCTAGTCAAATTGTAAAAAAAGATGACTGCATGACAAGTCAATGAAGAAGATAACGAAAGTCAATGCCACCAAGGAGCGACATACTTGGTGAAATTTATCGGAACAAAAAAACCTTGAAGATAATAAGGAGTCATACTTGGTGTCGATGAGTATGTAAGTGATGAATAGGAAGGTTGCTCCAGCCATGGCGATCAGGACAAAGGGGTTGAGACGTGGCAGCAACAGCTTACTCAGGCCAGGGACGATGTGACACAGGCTGCAACATACAAGTCAGATCGTAGCCACGTACACAGTACAATAAATCAATCAGAAGTATTTCCATGGTATTTCATTGGCTTACTATATATGCAAATATCTTATGCTTTCATTTTCCCATGAACCATGTACAAGCATATTACTGCCAATTCACAGTGGCATATACAAAGATTATGGTTTAAGAAAATCAGTGGTTGATACTATGACAGCCTAAGAAACAATTGACAAAACTGGGGCACAATGACTGACTGAGTTTAGTTTTACGCCGCTTTTAGCAATATTCCAGCAATATCACAGCGGGGGACACCAGAAATGGGCTTAACACATTGTGCCCATGTGGGGAATCGAACCCGGGTCTTCGGCGTGACGAGCCAACGCTTTAACCACTAGGCTACCCCACCGCCCCCTGGGGCACAATGAACATGATGAAACACTTCCAGGACCTACCCCCAACACCACTTCCAAATTCTGACTACTTTATTTCCAACAGCCCTTACCACAAGCATTAAGTTCAGGGTCTGCACATGACATTCAACCCTGGAATCCAACAGGCTTATCATGATTTAGGATCTTGATAAACGAAAATTATGTAAAACAACCTAAATATCTGTCAGAGAAACCATGAATCAATAGTTCCAGAGATATGATCCCCAATTTTGCCCGCCTCCTACCTCTCACTCATGTCGGTCATGTGTTCCTGTAGCCAGCTGGAGCTGGACGCAGCCACCACGTGGTTCATGGCTCGATTGTTCACCCCAAACGTCACCAAGAAGTGGATCACACATGCCAGCACTGTGCCAACCAACATTCGACCCCTGGTGAAATAAGGCATTTCAGTTTGTTTAAAGATAGCAAAAATACAGCCACATGGCTCTTTACTCACCAGACTTATGAAGAAAATACTTTCAAAGACCCTTTAACTTATTTTGGCACAAATATACTGGTAGCTACAAAATATTTTACCAAAAAAATGGAACAAAACAACATCATTTTGAGAACAAATTTGGATGCTAACACTGATGCCTGGAACAAATTCTGATCTCATTATCAAAACATTCACACAAAGCTGATTGTGCTGTGAAACCTAAGAATCCAAGTTCCATAATTCGGTGCTAATGTATAAGATGTGGCCATTGCAGCAGCCATGTTTGAAATCTGATTGCAATTCTGAACTCAGATAAAATCCATAGACAAATATGTTGGGATTATTTCTACAAAGTTTTAGCTCACAGGCCATGAAGTTGTGGAGGAGATGCCAAAGCTGTTCATGATCAAATGTGAGTGAGTGAGTTTAGTTTTACACCGCACTCACCTATTTCCAATATAATATAGCGTGATTAAGTATCCGTTCCTATGAACCAGATGAAATAAGTGAGTGAGTGAGTTTAGTTTTATGCCACACTCAGCAATATTCCAGCTATATGGCAGCGGTCTGTAAATAATCAAGTCTGGACCAGACAATCAAGTGATCAACAGCATGAGCATCAATGTGTCAACCAAGTCAGCGAGTCTGACCACCCGATCCCGTTAGTCGCCTCTTACGACAAGCATAGTCACCTTTTGTGGCAAGCATGGGTTGCTACAGACCTATTCTACCCCGGATCTTCCTACCCCGGATCTTCACGGGTTGTTCATGATCACAGGACAACCAGACTGACATATCTTTCAGAATGCATGTCTCCATGACCTAAGTATGATGAGAAATATTCTAAATAACTGAATGTCCTTCAATGAATTGTTAAAACATCTCAGAGAAACCGTCTTCAGACCTACCAATCACATGGAGATGAAGCTCACACATGGTCAGGCTTCTGTCTATAATGGTGTACTTACGTATGCACTTCCTGCTGTTGTAGAAGACACTCCACACTGAAAGAATGGGTGGACAAAATCAAAGCCGGTAAACGAAAAGTATGCAATTTTAACAACAAAAATACATAGGTTCATAAAAGTCTTGTAACATGATTAAATATTTTAACTAATACGTTTTACAACACAGCTGTTGAGGCTGTGTGGTCCTCCAGATTTACGGATGGTTTAACTGACAGTTTAAGAGGAAAATGAGTCAGATATGATGACATGTGTCAACCCAGTCAGCGAGCCTGACCACCTGATCACGTTAGTCACCTCTGACTTCCGACAAGCATGAGTTACTGAAGCCAATTCTAACCCAGATCTTCACAAGTAAAATGAAGAGCACAGTTGTGCCAAGAGATCCCTGTACATGATATACTCAGTATTTGGCTCTTACATACAACAGTTGATGACTTCTGACAGAACTTCTGCTGAATATGGATGAATATCTAAATAAAGTACTGTCACTTGTAGTCTACCCATTACAACAAAGTTCGCAGCAGACTTTTCAAACATTAAAGAATGTTTTAGAACTGAGAGTAATGACCCCATTACTATTGGTATTGTTATGCATAAACATGATCAATGTAATGTCTTGTTACCATGGTTACTTACCTCTCCTTGACAATAAAGAATGATCCCAGCTGGGCCAACATGGTGCTTGCAAACACAGCCACAACCTCAAACCTTTCATACCTGGAAGTGGAACACAGGCAAATATATCAAACACTTGGTGGGTGGGTGAGTGGTAGAGTGGTTGAATGGTAGAGCGGGCGAGTGGAAGAGTGGTTGAGTGAGTGGTTGAGTGAGTGGTTGAGTGAGTGGTTGAGTGAGTGGTTGAATGGTAGAGCGGGCGAGTGGAAGAGTGGTAGAGAAGTAGAGTGGTAGAGTGGTAGAAAGGTAGAGTGGTTGAGTGGGCGGGTAGGCGGGCGTGTTTCGTGTAGGTGTTCGAGTAGTTGAGTGTATGGGCGAGTGGGTATGTGCGTGCGTTGGCAGGCAGTCATGGTTTTATGGAGCTTTTAGCAATAGTATGGCTGGGGACACCAAAAACCCATGTAGGAAATTCTAACAACCCGGGTCTTCAGCGAAATTAGTGAATGCTTTAACCACTGGATGTCATACAGAAGTTCTTAACATCAGTATATATATGTAGAACCCAGTCCACCAACTGTGTTGTTTTGTCACAGGTATCACTGACCAATCAGCTAGTTATACTAATCATGCTATATATGAGTGTAATACTAACCCAAAAGAGTAGGCTGATGTAGGCTGCTGTAACTGGACCCATAAGCTCAGAAGGCATGTGAGTAGGCTGGAAAGAGCAACACCATCAGATCAAATTAGGAAATCTACAACAGGATCAGGTGGTCAGGCCCACTGACTTGGTAGACACATGTCATCGTATCCCAATTACGTAGATCGATGTTCATGCTGTTGATTTCTGGATTGTCTGGTCCAGACTCAATTATTTACAGACAACCGCCATATTGCTGGAATATTGCCAGGTGCAGTGTTAGACAACAAAATATCAATCAATATAACAAATGACATGAAACTGGATCAAATGAAGGTACACAAACATAAATCACATGCATCAATCAATTTTTTGTCGGTGTGTCATTGAACAACAAACAAGCACAATCTAAGGAGAAACTTACCTAAATATGTCAAATATTGTCAAGTATGTGAAGGCTGTCAGTGCTGGAAAGAGAGACAGGTCTTCAAATGGCATTTTAGAAAGATATAAGAGAAAGAATTTATGGATGTTAAATTCTTTCAAATAAGGAACAATGTTTTGGGTATATGCCGACTCATTTATCAGGTGCAATGGAAAGAGAATCTCTCTCATACAGTCAAACATCATTATGTTGACTATGATGTGTCGACCTTATGACCAGTGAAGATCCGAGTTAGAATTAATCTTCAGTAAGATCTTCATTGCTTGTCAAAAGAGGCAACGAACGGGATCAGACTCGATTACTTGATAGACACGTCATCAGATCCTAATTGTATAGATCGATGCCCATGCTGTTCATCCCTGGATTGTCTGGTCCAGACTCAATTATTTACAGACTGCCTCCATATAGCTGGAATATTGCTGAGTGTGGTGTAAAACTAAACTCACTCACTCACACCACCTTATGGTTGTCTCAAAGTGAAAACCTGGTCCCTCTGTATTCCTTATTTAGTTATCACATTGAGTAAAAGGATAACTTTCAGTAATTACCTAGGTCCTGTCAGCTTAGATACAGTGGTGTTTGTCTGTACTAACAACTGTTTGAATACAAACAATGTTTCGCCATAGTTCTAGTGCAATCTGTAAAGGTTTATTTGGATGCATATATGCAAATTACATAGACAGAAATTGAGAATATTACATCAAAAGTTTCAGTATACAAAATTACGTTTGACTGAATAATCATAGCATTCTATTTCACTGGCACTCCTATTTTCATGAGCAATATACATAAAGAGTTCACACTGTTCATATAGTTTCCTTACCATTCCAAGATTTGTTTGCGTGTGTTTTTATGCTGCAGTATTAAAGATATAATACAGCAGTCTGGAAATAATTGGGTCTGGACCAGACAATCGAGTGATTGACATCACAACCATCGATCTATTCACTTAGAATAGGATTACATCCATCAACCAATTCAGCGTGTCTGCCTGACTGATTCCTTCAGCTTTTTGATGACAAGCATTGGCTCCTGAAGACCTGGGACCCCATCCACTATGTCATTCATAAGCCTATGATATGGCACAGGGTTACAATAGGTCGTAACGTTATGAACACTTTGTGGATCAGGGCTCCTTTGTGTACCAGATCTTCAAGGTGTAGCTAACATGACAGAGGAGAAGGCACAAAACTACTCAGGATAATGGTCCAATAGCAGACTGGTAATACTCTTCAACATTTTGGTTTAGTCTGATGCGTCACTTGTCTTGTGTTATATATGTTATATTTGGGAGTACACTTTCTCAGTAAAGTACACATTCTAGTACTTTTCTGGGTTGAGTCTCACCAAGGATTTAAAGAGTCTGGGACTCAGGTGGGACTCAACCTTAAAAGGCACAAGAATGTGTACTTTACCGAGAGTGTAATCCAAATAATGTGAGTTACATCTGACCACTTTCTAAAAGATATTGTGTATTCATTGTCTTGAGTTGTTAGAATTACTAATTTTTATATAATACATACACCACATAAACTAGATATGGCCTAAAAAATTATTGTGGTTCCGATTACCCGACCGACCCTTAAATTCTGGTGCCGACCCTATTTTTTTAAGCGGACTGAATAAAATAAGCTTTCAGATACCATTGTTTTTTCCCGGCACCAACAGATATCGGTCATTCTTATAGAGAAAATCGACATGATGGCCGCAAGCTTGTTTGAAATACCTTCTAAAAAAGTATGTAAAAAAGAAATTCCTACTACCTACCCTAAATTTTAAAGAGATGTAATCGGAACCACAACGGGTTTTTTATTTAGCCTATACATGTATAATGTACGTTGTACACTGATAGATATTTTTGCAGCTTTTCATTATACTGAGGATGAGCTAAAACATCATACCCATGCTGTTTGTTGAATGGCACCAAAGAAGTAGAATCATGGTGCAAGCCACATTGAGAGCCAGGAAGAGGGATATCTTCTTGCCCTGAAAATACATAACTGAAGTGATGATCATTGATAATCCATCATTCTGCTACATCGGCAGAAAAGAAGATTTTCAGTACAGATTTGTTCCCAAAATAAAATGTCTGTCGATGGAAACAGTGACAATCATACAAGAAAAACATAAAACAGAAATGTTCCCCAAAATTGTAGATGCTCATGTTGTGTTTAAGATTGTGTCCTTTGCTAAAAATATGCTGTTATTTTGTACTTCGGCGCTTTATCACAGTGCTGCAACAGGCTGTTATGAGTTATGTCCCTTCTATGTCTTTCCTACTGACCAACCACATTTCCCCCTCACATGACTTTCATCGGCTTGCAAACAAAATGGCTGCAAACAATCAAGACAATCTGATTGATCACAAGACCAAGATTGTAACAGGTTTTACCTCACAAAGTGCATCAATCACATGACAACCCAGATCAAAGGCAAAGAGATTTGAAAAATATCTGTTGATGCATATGCTGTTCAGATAGTTCGGCTTGGGTTTGAATTAGACTTTTACAGTTAGTTAACTGCTGGTCAACCAGTTGAGCAACTGTGCATTGTAATATGGACATACCCACGTGGTAATCGTATGGGTAGTGCACTAATGAGTGAGTCGTATCGTATCGCGTTGACCTGTGTCGTAACGACTTGACCTGGGATTCTAACAATTTGATTGGATAACCGATGACCTCTCAATTAGGTCACATTCTGACGTAACTATTTTTTCATTCATAACAAACACGTGAATTCATTCATTCTACAGTTAAATGCATTGTGGGAATGTAAGCATTGCGAACGTTGCCGTGTTGCCGTTTAATTGTGAGCCGAACTGAGACATTATATCCGTCGAAAAACATAAACGCAATGTTTCCACCAGTGATGTTAGCCGAATGAAGCAACTGAAACCAAGAAACGAGGTGCTACGGAGTAGTTTACTGTAGGAGGCTGTATGAGGCGATGACAACTGACATGCATCGTGACATCGGTTACCAAGGCAGTGACGTCATTACAGTGTGACGTCATGAAATATTGTACTACAGTACAAAACTCTTCCGCAACCTCTTTATGAAACCGGTTTCGGTTTGAAACCAAAAACATAACAAAAATACGCTATTTTGTCAATTTAATGCATGTAAGACGTGGGTAATAAATAAAATACCACACTCGGTCTCATTACATACGAATTATATGAAATTCTCTATATACCATTGAGCTAATGAGTATTGATCAATAATATTTCAGTACCTCTTTGAGTGAAAGAACTGTTGTCAACTCTTTGAAGAAAGTTCCACGCAAAGGCTTGGAAGCAGAAAATGGGTAGATTGTACCCTGGAAAAAAAGATTCTTTAAACATACGAATATCTGTTAGTTGCTTTAACCATAATATATCTAGACAGTGTTGAAATCAGGCCGTGGCTTGATGTAGTACATTTCAGGTTTTTCAGGGAGTGTTAATCTTTATTTCTTAACACAATACTCATGCAAAGATTTTTATCATGATCATGATTTTAGCATTAATAATAATAACCATGGTAATATGGACATTTATCAAGAGTAACAGATCATCCAGACAAAACTTTTTCCATTAAACCTATGTAAACAAGTTTAAAATGTTCAAATGACATTTCCTGAGAAAGAGTGCATTTCATTAACTTGGTACTGAAAGATAAGCTGCAGATGTTAGCAAATATCAATAATTATTACTTAAAACAAAAGATTATCTACTGGCTAGCGAACAGTTATCGCCCCATAACAGTTATAGCCAATACATCAGTATCACACGTGCACAGTTCCAGTCAGTTACAATTCCGGTATTTTTTCCCACGGTATATGACAACAATAAAGGAGAGCAAAAGAAAATCTTCACGGTAAGTAACATAAGAAAAAAATTAAAGATAAAGTTATGAACCCTACAAATAATTTTTAACTCAGTCGGGGGGATGTCCCATGACCTATATAATAGAAAGTTCATGTTCACAAGTCATTAATTGTTTCATTCCCTATCAATCTACTGTAAAAGAAACACTCAAATAGTCACACAATCAATTATTCGAGGTTACTGTATGACATAAATATATATTATTTCACGAATGGCATGAGAAATTCTGAATGGTGATAACTGTTACAGTTCGTTGTGAGAAAACATCTATTTATCCTGCCATGATTCCCTTCCGAGCCGCGTTATATAAAAACATGATCGGCAGCAGTGAAAGGGCTGGAAACATCGGTGAATAGCTAATTAAGTATTATAAATAATTATGTTTCATCAATTTAATGAACGGCGGAGTAATTTAGTAAATACTGCTAAAATATGGCGATAACTGTTCAGTAGCCAGTACAATTTTCAGTGACACTAGAAATCAAAACAACATTCATCTGAATCAGTATGAAAAAAAACATATACAATCACAATGTCTGATTAACAATTATTAGCATGATCAAAATTCTCTTATTATTTGTTACTTGTTTTTTAAAAGTTGGAATGTACGACATAACAGTGTGAGGATAGTCTTACCGATGTGTAGTACTTGGTTCCATCTTCCCTTGCTGCACCTGAAGTTCAATTAAACATGTTAAATAAACAATGATGCACCTCTACTTGTGTTACCTAATATAAGTACTAATCATGACATGTTGTTTAACCCGTATGCAATTGTATGATCATTATGATCATGATCATAAGTGATATCCAGTATATCTCTGTATCTGGAAGTAGCTATCTCCTCAGCTGATTTTTTTCAAACTTTAGTTAATGCATTCTTAAAGACACAGACTGATGAGTGCATCCTAATATCTCTCTGAAACAGACGGTTTTGCACACAGTGACTGAGTGAGTGACACACGTCAGTCGTGACAGTGACTGCTTTGTTCCCAGCAAACACAGAAAGCTAAACAGAAGGAAAAGGAAACAGAAAAAAATCAACCTTGCACTCCTTGCATGGAGACGCTACTACTGATCAGGTCCGGCATTGAACCGTAGCTAGTCATCTTCAGAATGACCCGTTAAGTTGTCATTCATTCGTGGCACACATGCGGAAGTGTACAGTTTGTGTTGTTGGAAGCGACCTTCCGCTCTGGTGCTTTTAAAATTAGGATCACTTATCGAATTGGGTACATTTAAGAACAACTCTTCCTGTACTTGTACGTCCCAATAATTATTTACTGTAATAAACTTCCAATATTGTTAATCAACACGTATATCTATTATCTCCAGGATGACTATATGCGGTGTCTATGGCAACAGATTAGATACCCGGGTAGTCTGTCATGTACAGACCCTGAATTAAACGTATCCAAGAAAGCGCAAGTCTAGAAAATGTGCTAAGTCTAGATTTCCACAGCTTTTGAAAATGAAGAAAGTCTCAGGACTCCTTTTCTTAATATTTTATTTTTTTACAATGAACTTTATTTTCTGTAAAATATGCTCATTTCAGAGACTAGTTGTTAGGGACCGTTCATAATTTATGGCTAGTGGGGGTGATGATGATTTTAGGGTGGGTGGGGGTGGGGGTCACCCATTTGTTCTAAGGAGCTGGGGGGTGTCAGCAATTTTGTACACATGTACTAGGGAGGTCAGCAATTTTGTACATAAACAAATTTTGAAATTATGCTTAAAAACTATGGGAAGGGGAAGGGGGTAATTGATTTTGTACATGACATGCAGGTGGGGTCATTTATTTTGTACGTAAATTTTAGGGTGGGGTGGGGGGTGTCATTTACATTGTGCATCCTTCTCCATAAAAATCATCATCGCCCCCCTAGCCATAAATTATGAACGGTCCCTTAGTCTAATACCCGGGAAACTGAAAACTATGCCTAAATAATAAATAAATAGATGAATAAAACAACAAAAACCACTAAGATTAGAGAATATAAATAAATATATATATGTCACGTTGACCCTGTTTGTGCCAGGAAAAGGTTTTCAAATACGAAAGACATTTGGAGGCAAATATTCTGACATTCTTTGAATCAGTATGATACCCATTCGTTATTACATGTATCTATAATTCCCAATATATTTGGTACCGATTACAATTTCGTTTTATATTTAACCAATGAAATCGTTCTTTTGTAAATGACCCCTAGAGCAACAACAAATCTCACTGGAGCGACATTGGAGTTATGTCCCTTTAACCATGCCAGTTCCGACTGTGTGTACAGGTACTACAGTCGTCCTGTAGGCGAATCATAACTTTATGTTTTGACTGTTTTATATTACTAATCGTATTGCCGTATACCAACTTGCGATATCGGTAGGTTGAGACGATTTCATGACGTTAGGCAACATATGGGAGTTTCATGTGATCATGTGTGAGAGCTGGTTGACGTAGTACGTCATCATACCCCGACCGGTGGCATGAGTTACCGTATTTCGTCTAATAAGCGATGGGCACTAATTAGAGCCGGATCTCTAATAAGCGCCGGGGGTAAAGCAGTGGTTTAAGAAACAAGCACCGGGCCACTAAATAGCGCCGGGTATGTTTTTTTTATAAATGTATTCTCCCATGATCTCAAAATAGATTTATTAAGGAATGGTCCCTAACTTTGACGTGACGCTCAGTAACAATTAATTACGGTACACACAGTAAGAGCAATAAGTGCTGGGTCTCCAATTAGCTCCAGGCCCCTAATAAACGCTGGGTCTGGAAGTCCCGGGTGCATTATTAGGGGAAGTACGGTACTTGTTTTTCTTCCACACCTGGGAGCCATGATGCAACCAAGACAAGCTGTTGGCTACATGTGTGCTTAAACATGACAAGTAACATTCAGTGGTGTCTGCAGTCTAAAAGCAACACATGTTTCGTTGCTTTAATGTTTCTTGATCAGTCGATATCACAAGTCTCAGACATGTACTAGTCAGACTAGTCAGTTGGCTTGTACACCAGGCGGTAGTGTGTGTGTGTGTGTGTGTGTGAGTGCGTGCGTGCGTGCGCGTGCGTGCGGTGTACAATAGGGTTCTATATATACTGTACACCCTGCTCCTAACATATGTAAAAAGTATCAAGGAGATTACAAGTTTCAAAATATATTTTTAATAAATGTTCTTGGGTAATGCAGGACTCCAGATAATTTTTCAACATCAGGAGTATGTACTCCTTATTTTTTTAATATAGGAGTACTGGAATGGATTTTAATGGAGTACCAGTAATCTTGTGTTTCTTTTCATATATGCACCACAACATTGCTACTCTTGTGTAAACAGGTCAGTAAACAATAAAACAATACTTTTTCAGATAAATACGTCTGTAAATGATTCTTAGACCGTACACCATTGCTGTGGTGCGTATCTGCTACGTTTTCTAAATTATTTCCTACCGTATCGTGCATATTATATATCCGTACATACGCCGATACGGCCCTTATCTAGAGCCCTGGTAATAGTTCAATGTATTGCATGATCCTCATCAGACCATAGGTGTGGTAACTGGACATGTGAACAGGGGCAAATGTCATTCTACAAATAGCTGATCTCACAGCAAATGTTATGATGTTGTGTCATCTAAGTGCTCAGACCAATGTATGTCAAGGTGACATAATCCATGCAGAAGTATTTCTTTTGTATCATAGGCTATAGCCTTCGTCCTTCAGTTCGACACACTGCTTTACTATCAGCCAAAATATAGCACAAAGTTCATGCACTGCAGAATTGTGTAAATCTGTTAAGTATTGTATAATTCTGTGATGAATTGACAATGGACTGACAACAGAAATGATCTTTTCAGGAAAACCATGAAAAAAATTCCTAAGAGAAGACCATGGGGTGGACTGGTTGGTGGGATCAAGATCTTCCTCGGTGCTGAGTTGGCAGTTTTTGCAGTGTCCTTGTACTACTGGCGTAAGATGAACTCTTCCCAAGGTATACATGATATATCCTCGTCTACAAGTTTATTCACAAGTCCAAAGTCCTAGTCTAGAAGCTGGTAAAATCTCTGTTGTCTGGTAAAGTTATACGTACACTATGGCTAAATTATCCGGAGACAGTGACGATGTACATGCCTTGGCTAGCAGACACAGGCTGTTACATTCTTATTTGCTGACCTGCTCAACTGTCAACTCAAGTTTGAATTTATAATGGATAGCATCAACCTCATGTTGCTAATGGAACAGAGAATTTCTTGCAAAAATGATGTAAAGTAAGTACTGCAATCCTTAACATAATTAAAATATCGCATTGTTATTTGAGTATTATCATAAAGATATATTTGTCATTTCATAAGGGGGCCGTGGGGTAGCCTAATGGTTAAAGCGTTGGCTCGTCCCGCCGGAGACCCAGGTTCGAATCCCCACATGGGTACAATGTGTGAAGCCCATTTCTGGTGTCCCCCGCCGTGATGTTGCTGGAATATTGCTAAAAGCGGCGTAAAACCAAACTCAGTCAGTCAGTCAGTCAGTCAGTCATTTCATAAGCTAAGCATAAGACATCCCAACTAATAACTCATTTATACCATATCTTGTGTTGTGTATCATTGAATTTCTCATACATTGTCATCCAGTTGACACTGCAAGGTCAAAACGTGAAATGTTTGTCATGTTTTAGACTTCAGGTACACTGTCCATCAGAAGTATCCCTTCTTGCTGAATGGTAAGTCTGGAAGATCGTAGTTAGAATAAATAGATTACAGACTGCCGCCATAAAGCTGGAATATTGCTGAATGTGGCGTTAAACAAACGAACAAGCAAGCAAACCCCGGAGTGAGTGCATAACATTACAGTTATTTCACAACTGCTTCTAAATAACTGAGTTTGATAGTATGCCTTTGAGAACTGAATATTTTCCTTCCTGCAAAGTCTGTCATAATAACTTCAGTAATCACAAAAAAATCAGGTTAGGCCACATGAAAAGGGTTGTTATTTTATATATTCATTTCAACAGAATAAAAAGGGAGTATTTAGTCTGCAAACGTGACTAGTACTCCAATCATTTTTGGCCTTAGCTCATATTTGTTTTTGTATTTACCAAGGTTCTTAATATGTACTTAATTTTTTAGCTGTGTTGATGTATATGAAATATCAGTAGTTTGTCTCACAACCCCTGAACTGTCAAACCAGTCAACTCTCACATTTTTGCCATGAGTCTCACGTTCTTTTAATGAAAGTGGCAGTGGGATAGCCTAGTGGTTAAAGCGTGCGCTTGTCACGCCGAAGGCCCGGGTGCAATTCCCCACATGGGTACAATGTGTGAAGCCCATTTCTGGTGTTCCCTGCTGTGATATTGCTGGAATATTTCTAAAAGCGGCGTAGAACTAAACTCATTCACTTTTAATGAAAATCACGTTCTCACAGCCAGTATACTAAACCTCACATTTTTCTGTGCTTTGATATGTATAATCTTGCCTGCTGAAGCTTCAAAAATACAGTAAAAAATACAACAAAAAGTTTCACCCCCACCAGGACTTTCGCTGGACCGGACCTAGACCTGCATCCCCTGCACCCCAGCTTTTAATGGCTCTCACTTCTTGGACACATTTATTGTTGGCAGATATGGAGCTGTGTTATTTTACCTTCTTCAAAGCCCTTATTGGAATGTTGTGGCTCAAATTAAAGCAATCCCAGACTCTCAACAGGAACAAAATCACCCATCTCCCTGAGGGTCCTTTTCAATTGAAATGGGGTTGCCTGTTTCTATAAGAATATATATATTTTCAAATATATCTGTTCCAGGGTACTATGAAATGGGTGAACGTTTTGGGGGTCTGAACACACGGAAAGAAGATTACCAAACTTGGGGATTACCGCTGGAGAAGTAGCGAGTCAATATCATCCTTCAACCTATTACGGACCTGGTGGATATACAGAAGGGTAAAAAGGGAACATTTATCAGGAACTGTTGGATTATCACTGGAGAAGTAGCAAGTTATGAACAGTGTGCTGTCAAGATACTTGCAGTTGTAGTGTTTCAGGTGTGCTACAGTTAGTGTGGTGAAACATGGTAACAGGCCCCCATAATGTCATATGGAGGGCAGTGCAGAGTTGAATCCCTTAGCTATACCTATGATCATGCTCATACCGTGATTGTTTCTTGTTTATCGGTCTAACCAACAACTGGCTGTGGAGAGTGGTGTCCCTTGGACAAGCCAGGAACCTATGACTGTGGGTTTGAATCCCAGTTTGAGCTGATTGTTTCTGGGTTGTCATCACCATACCCATGCTCATGGGTGTCATCAAAGTGAAGACATGTGAAGATCGGGTTAGAATTGATCTTCAGTAACCAATGCCCCAAATGCTTGTCATAAGAGGCGACTAACGGGATCGGGTGGTCAGGGTCGCTGACTTGGTTGACACATGTCATCGTATCCCAATTGCGTAAATCGATGCTCATGCTGTTAATCACTGGATTGTCTGGTCCAGACCTGATTATTTACAGACTGCCACCATGTAGCTGGAATATTGCTGAGTGCGGCGTAAAACTAAACTCATTCACTCACCCCCTCACCATAGTGATAAAAGCTTAGGTCTGCAGCAATCCAGCTCTTCCTCCCTCATTCAGCCAACATGCTACATTACAGCTGGAATACTGTTCAAAGAAGTGTTAAAACCCATCTCACTCACTGGTGATAAATATCAAGAGACTGTATCATATTGGGCTTTCCTTCCCCATCAGACCCGTGAAGATCCGGTTAGAATGGATCTTCAGTAACCCATGCTTGTCGTAAGAGGTGATTAACGGGATCGGGTGGTCAGGCTCGCTGACTTGGTTGACAGATGTCATCGGTTCCCAATTGCGCAGATCAGTGCTCCTGCTATTGATCACTGGATTGTCTGGTCCAGACTTGATTGTGTACAGACTGCCGCCATATAGCTGGAATATTGCTGAGTGTGGCATAAAACTAAACTCACTCACTCCTTCCCCATGAAGTTGGCACAGGGTGTTCTGACTGAGTTACTGGATGCCACTAAAATCAAAATGAAAAATATACCAAAGTTGAGAGTGAGATAGTGACTTGATGGTTCAAAGTATGTTGTGGAGATGAACTACAGACTTGATGAGTTTTTCTGTTTGCTGAAAGCTGTGTGTTTGTGTATTGTGATTAGAGTGATGAAATAAAATAACTTTCTCACCTGTGTTCTTTTTTTATTCTTTATGTAGTTTTAAAATCACATTGTGCTGAAATTCCTGACTGTATCCAGATACCTTTTGGGGTCATTGAGTTATGTACTCAATTATGTTCATCTCAACTGGGTATCCTAATTTTCCTTTGAGTGACCAAATGATTTGTGCCACCTCACTCAAACCCAATTGACTATTTTGCCATTTTCCATTAATTGTAAAAAAAATATAGTTTAAATGTTGGTTTACTGGTATGTTGTTTATTTGATCTGTAATATATGAAAAAATATGAAAGACTGCAAATTGCCAAGTTCATGTGCTGAAATAGAACCTCTGAAATCTACCTCAGTAATTTAATGGATCCACCAGTACGAATAGCTAAGATCTGTCATTTTCATGTGTACACATGTAAGATCAATTTTGTTTAGTATTTACAAAAATACAAGCGTACTTGTACGCCACACACTTAATAGGAATTGAGTTTTCACATAAACAAATATCCTGGAAATTATCAAGGATGTCTATCCATTGCACACACATTGTATGTATCTGTACAATAAGTCATGAATTCCCTTGTTTCATTTGGACCCGTGAATGTCCGGGTTAGAATATTGATCTTCAGTAACCCATGCTTGTCGTAAGAGGCCACTAACGGGATCGGGTGGTCAGGCTCACTGACTTGGTTGACACATGTCATCGGTTCCCAATTGCGCAGATCGATGCTCATGCTGTTAATCACTGGATTGTCTGGTCCAGACCTGATTATTTACAGACCGCCGCCATATAGCTGGAATATTGCCGAGTGCGGCGTAAAGCTAAACTCACTCACTCACTTATTTCATCTGGTTCATAGGAACGGATACTTAATCACACTATATAATTAAATGTGTTTGGTGGTAAATAAGACATACATTAATTACATTAATTTTTGGTTATTGTATTCTGTCGTTCAAAGGGGAGATGGGGTAGCCTAGCTCATCATGCCAAAGACACGGGTTTCTGAATTTGTGAAGCCCATTTCTGGTGTCCCCGCAGTGATATTGCTGAAATATTGCTAGAAGTGGCGTAAAATAAACTCACTCACTCAGTAGTTCAGAAGCATGTCAGTAAGAATATAAATAATTATATATATTTGAGCGAGGTATCTTATTTTATGCATAAGAATAAATGCAGTCTTCATCAACACATAAAAAGGAATGATATTAGATATTGTACTTAAAATCCTCAAGGGAGTTCCTTATCATTATTACCCGAGGCCACTAATTTTATTTCCTGTTTTATGGATTTTTGTCCTCCGGAAACCTAAAGGCAGGAGGGAAAAAACAAAAATCTTCAGTCAAAGCAAAAACCCACATGAGTTTTTCAAAGGCATTGTTTTTCAAGTTCGCACTGGCTGAGGTGCTCGAAGCACTGCCTTTTCTAACACAAATATTGTTAGATAATTCAGTTTAATGTCTTTGAGAACAGATACCAGTGTTTTAGTGTCCAACAAACTGTCTTGCGTAGTCGAAGTCTCGCTCCCGTATATCTTAACTTTAGGATTTTATTTTTCGAGCAGGGCATTTTTTATTCTTATTCGTGAAAAGATACGACCAGCGGACAAGAAGAAATAAAATTGGTCTGGCCTAAGTATCAAAAACATTATGAAAGAAATAACAAAAGATATTGCATCAGGTGCTACCCGTCCGCTTTGGAATTGAATCAAATTAAAAACCTTTCAAAACTTGTTCTTTTTGAGAAAATTAACTGTGTTTAACGTTTGAACAAATCTGTATGTACTTCACTGTACGGGTCGATGAAATTGTCGATTTATAGTCCAAGGGAGATAACTGTGACGGTACTAAAGCGCCTTTGGTCTATGAAATCCATTATGTGCGGTAAATGGTATATATATGTTACAGTCAATATGTGTAATCAGTTATTTCGTGTAATGACTAAATGAATCAGTCATTTCGTGTAATGTAATGACTAAATGAATCAGTCATTTCGTGTAATGTAATGACTAAATGAATCTGTCATTTCGTGTAATGTAATGACTAAATGAATCTGTCATTTCGTGTAATGACTAAATGAATCAGTCATTTCGTGAAGTGCCTGTGAGCACTAGGCAATACGTGTAATGACTGAAATGATGTCAAGACAACAAAAGTTCAGTGTAAAGCATTTATTGACGCTATAATAAAAATGTTTTACAAGTCGCACTTCAAGATAAAGTAGAGTATTTATTTAACTATTAAAGGATACTGAATATACTGTGCCAACTCAATCACCACAAAGTCCTATATTCAAATCAAAAGCTAAATAATGCATCAAAAACGTAATAAAATTGAGTCTTTCATCACAAAATTTAAATCATATATCACAGAAGTCATTCAGTTGAACTCTCAAATCACTTGTCACAATCTGACTACTTCATTTCACAAGCCACTTGTTTTTGCACAACTGGCTGCTGTGACAACGGCTGGAGCATTTGAATTTGTTTTTGAAACACTTGAACCTATTGGTCCCACATCTCTTGGAACCTGCACAATTGCACCGGACATATCCCTGTCCACCACAGCTGGATTCTATATGTACAGCCTGGCGTAGTGTTACTGTCTTTGTACGGTCTACATCAGTTTCAGTAAGTAAATGCTGGGGACACAAATCAAACTGATTGCGTGAAAACTTTCCTTTCAGAATCCCCGCTTTAACACAAATAGTGTACATGTCATTCTCATCACGGTCCATGATTATTCCCAGAATATTGCGTGGATCACCACGTCCCCTATCCACCAGAGGGATAGGTACAGCTACGTTGTCTCCCACCTGGCCACGGGCTAGTTCAACTCGACTCCTCTTGACCATACGCTGAGCTTGTGCCATCTGGGCAGAGCTGGCGCCTTTTCTCTCACTTATGATGTTTTGTAAACGGGCATTGAGTATATCCGAGGTGACAGCAACTGGAGCAGGACTCATTGGTGGTGGATCTCTGTACTCTGGTGTGGACTGTGAAACTGTGGCAATCACTGTGAGCTCTGGCATGTCAATGTCACTGTTCCCCTGATCAAAATCCAGACTGAGAGTTGGTGTCAGTTCTTGACTGGTGGTTGGGATCGGATCCTGGCTGGTGGTTGGTGTCGGATCCTGGCTGGTGGTTGGTGTCGGGTCAAGACTTGTGCTTGTTGAGTCTTGCTGACTGGATAATGCGAAAACAAGGTCGTCCTCAGTTTGCATCCGTTCAACAACCTCGGTCGGCAAGAAGATGATGTTAAGCCAACTTTTGCTTCTCAAAAGGTCTCAAACCTGAAAAATAATATGAGAAATTATATATATGAAAATATCAAGAAGTAATTGCATGTCATGAACAATACAAAGTGAGCGTAATTGGCCTTAACTTGGTACTTACTTTGACAGGAGGTAGTATCCATGTCTGTCCTTTGTTCCATCAGTTCCTGCTGCTGCTCTAAGATCCTGTATCATTGTGAAATACGCCTCCTTTGGACAGACTGACTGACTGAGTTTGGTTTTACGCCGCTTTTAGCAATATTCCAGCAACATCACGGCGGGGGACACCAGAAATGGGCTTCACACATTCTGCCCATGATGATTATCATGCGTGACGAGCCAACGGCCTCCTTTGGAACAAAATGATTTGTGACATAAAGCCAGAACAATGCTGATTTTATAGAAAAAACTGACTTGTCATGTGCTTTTAATAAGATTCACCATGATGATATCATGGAAGTCACTTGGGGATGTCACTT